GGTCTGAGGAAGTCTGGTATCTTGGCTAAGCGCTTGGTGGTTGTGACCGAAATGAAGGTCTCGGTTGATTCTGTGGCAATCGCTAGATCCTTGGAAGCACATCCTTGGTTTACAGTTGGTCGATGCAGAACAGACCCAAAGTGCTGGCATGTCGGTCGCTTGCATCATCGTACTCGGCTGCTGGCAGCACCTGAAGCTGCCATCGAGCGCCTGGGTTCCATAATGAATTACCAGTACGATGCCTGTGCTGGTCTTACCCCGGCACAGGCGGTCGATCGCCTGCTCTTGGATCTCTGGAAACACATAGTAAAGTATTTGTTTAGTTCTAGTGTTGATTCATCAATTATTCAATGTATTTTTGATTAGACAGAGAAAAACACGAGCCTGAAATTGCCTGTCTGAGGCCCAAGGTGGGCTGCACATGCTGGGCTCGGACCGCGATGAAATCCTCAAAGCTGCAGTCTGCCGGTCGATCATGTCGGTCCGCAAACGAGCCCGAGGAGGAGGACCCACTGAGCAGATCCGCCAGAAGAACAATGCTGTGCGTCTGTCTGGACGGTCGTTTGAAGAGCTTTCTGGGCACAGCCGTCAGGACATGGCAGAACTGCTGGATCCACTGCTCCCACAAGACATCGATGGTGGATTGTCGGTCGTCTTGAGGAACATTCAGCAGCAACATTCTTCGTCATTGCCGTGTGATCTTCCTGATGTTCTCCAGCAAGCTGTGCAGAAGGCGGTCGTTGGCGGGTCATCAGCCTGCACATAGTATTAGTTTATTATTTGACTCAATCATGACATGTACTAATCAAATGTAAGGAATCAACTTAATTGTTAAAAAAATACAACTCTACAGTATTCAAGTTGACTGGAAGGACCAGAGAGCCAAGGAAAGTGCAACTGCTGCCAACCTCAGTGCAGGTCCTGCACGCTCAGCAGAAGTCGGTCGCCTCCTCTGTTATGAGAGACTACTTGAAAGAGTGGCTGGAATCAGAGGATGGCAAGAAGTACCAAGCCAGTCGGGCTAAGCTTTGGAAGTGAGCTGGTCGCTGCTGAGAAAAAATGCCGACGATGTTGTGAACACTGCATTTGTGTACCAAGATCTAGCTCGGTCACTTTTCGAGTGAGTCACGTCACCCAGGCCATGACTGGATCGCCGGTCACTGCTGCACAAAGGACTGGGCCGTGTGTTGCATATGAAGCACTAGCTCGGTTGGTGATCATGTCTTTTGCAAAGCACCAGGCCATCATGGTGCCCAAGCTGCAGAACCATTTTTCTGTCAGCAAAGTGGTTCTTCAGGTTGGGCACTAGGTGCTTCAGTGGTCTCGTCGGACCCCCAGCTGTTTGTTTGCTGCACTCCTCCTGATTTCTCTCACATGTTATCTTCAGTCAAGCAGGCCGGTCAATGCCATAAGATGAAGATCCGAAGCAACCCTGGCCCACGACTGTCCGGCACTGCCGGGCGATCGTGGATCCGAGTTGCTTTGCATCTCCAGCTGGTGGCATGTTGGAAGCTCAGACCTTCTTTAGTAACCTGACCGTCCTGTGATTAGCTCGTACAATGACAAAGAATCAGAGCTCATGTGGCCCAGGCCGTGGTTGCCGTGCTGGTCGCTGCCACTGAAAGAAAGACAACGAGGCGATGTGTAAGCCCTTTGTCGGTCGATCACAAGGCGATGCTGTCACGATGGCATGGCCTTCTGCTTGACTCTGTCTGTCTGACTTGCCAGCTGTGCTTCAGCTCTTATAGCATCATCGACTACACATCACTTAGAGAGTTTCTTGCAGCCGTGGTCGTGTCAGGGAGCAACAAGCCTTGGGACTGAACAAAGCCATTGCACGGCAGCATCAGCGTATCATCATACCTATAATATACATGAGAACTTCACTTGAGACTAGACTTTAGACATGGAGCAGATGGAGCTCCTTTCGGAGTCTGAGTCCATGTCGGTCGACCTCCAGATATGTTCAGGCAGCGAAAGCTTGAAGAGCTGGTCGCCGGATGAGAGTGGGTCGGAGTCTCTTCCGGCGTCAGATATGCCAGATATTGACGTGGACCAGGCAAATGCGACGCCGGTCGCAAATTTTGGCAGCGGCATGGCAGGTGCCAAGCAGTGGCCTGAGATCACGATGATTGCTTTAAGTCGTATTTTGTCGGTCAAGCAACTTCAAGGCATGGCTGTTGTGAAACCCATCGATTAAGAACCGTTTATTAATTATTCTTGCAATCGTCATAATGCTAATAAGTTATCATTATCAGAGCAATAGTAATAATAATCGTTATCAGTTTCTGAGCACCCTGACCAGGTTCCATGCTGGCTGGCCCAATCCGTGTCAGTACACATTTCTCAGGTGTTGGATGTGCTGAGCAGGCGGTCGAGCGTGTGCACAAGGCCTTCCAAGAACTTCTTCTGTGTAAGTTCACCACGCGGGCGGTCGCCAAGAGATCGACTCTGCAGTTCGTGTCTGCCTGTGACGTATCACGGGCCTGCCAGAATCTTTTGATGGGTCGGTCGGAGCATGTCTTTGGAGATATCAGGGATGCCTTTCCGACTCTGGAAATGCTAGGTCCTGACCGGCCGGTCGCAGAGCGGTGGGCACTGGCCAAGAGAGCAGCCGCCAACGTCCCAAGAATATGTCGGTGTCATGTTGCATGCCGGCCACCACCCGTGACGGTCGACATCAGCGGTAGCCCATGCCAGCCATGGTCGAGAGCTGGACAGAAGAGGCGCTGGACCGACGGTCGGTCTGACCTTCTCCTGCTATGGGCAGCCCTTATGTTGAAGCAGGAGCCGCCGGTCATACTGCACGAAAACGTGTCTGGCTTTCCCACGTCGGTCCTGGAGGATCTCATGCAGGAAAAGTATGTCATTCATCACTTGCGGGTCGAGCCACACCATGTGGGCTTCACCTGTGTGAATCGACCACGGGTATATTCCGTGCTAGTACATCGGTCGAGAGCGTCGGTTGCCGATATCCCGACGGTCTACCATTTCGTGACAAGCTTCTTCAATTCCGTCGGTGGTGGACTGTCCATCAGAGATTGTTACATAGGGTCGGTCGAGGAGACTCTAGAAGAGGAGAACTTCTGTCGCAGAGCAAAGGGTTTAGACATGGTGCAGACGCCAAGCCGGTCGTGGGAATGTCTGCTGACTGAGCAGCAGCAGAAATACTTGGCAAAGTACCGTGAAACTTGGCAGCAGTGCAGGTCTGACAAAGAGCAGGAGCCGGTCTTTGATCTCAGCCAAAACCCTGCACGTTTCCTTAAGATGACTACAAAAGATGGTCGCTTGCCAACTTTCCGCACGAATACGAAAATTTGGGTGGATGGTTTGAGCCGATGGCTTCTGCCGGTCGAAATGGCAGCAGCAATGGCAATGAACTATGGGGTCCTGGGGCAGCCCAACCGACAGCAGGTCGGCAACGGAATGCATGTGGCCAACTGTGGAGTAATGTTGGCGGTCGCCTTGGCCTGTACGCGTTGAAGAACAGTGCGGTTAAAAAAAATGCAGTGTGGTGCAATGCCCAATATCTGATTGGCACACTTGCTCCATGATTCATCCTGTGCCACGTCGGTCGTGCCTATTTTCAGTCAATCTTAATTAATGTCGTTTGCTCATTGCCAGGCAGACGTGGTGAGCCCTCCTCTGAGAGCAGGTCGACCAGGTGGATGACATGGTACGACCATGCCGTCCAAATGGTCCGTGGCTGCTGGTTGGAAGACCAGACACAGTGCCGGTCCTTCAGCTTCGCTGAATCTTCACTTTGCGTGCCTCCTGAGTGTACAAAGGAGTTCTGGAGCCGTGGGGCAGCTCGAATGCGAATCCCTCTGAGAGGTGTTCGCATTGGAGCTGCCCCACGGTTCCCAAGCAGCTCAACGAGAAGGCTCTGTAGCCTACAGAGCCTTCTCGTTGAACTGCTTGACCGAGCATGTTCGACATGCTGATGTCAAGGTCATGTCATTGAAAAAGTTGAGTTCATGTTATAGGCGTTGTTTTCACACAGCCGGTCCATCATGTGGCTGGACGATTGGGCCAATCGTCTCAACCACAAGCCGATGGACCGGCCGCCAGGTTCGGAGATGGCCTTGACAACGGTCGTAGACATTGAAGCACTGGGGTGACCACATCGCTTGCCGGTCGACTTCCGTCCCGGTGCATTCCTGAGCTCGCCGGTCGACTTCGGTCTCGGCGCTCAGCTTGCCGTGGCCTTATGGTGGAGCGCAAACGAAACAGTATTTTAAGTTCATGTTAGGCGTTGTTTTCACTCAGCCGGTCCATCATGTGGCCTTGACGGCGTCAGTGCAGCCCAGAAGAAAAAAGAGCTCGAGGCTCGAGCTCTTTTTTCTTCTGGGCTGCACCCCGAGCTAGGAACTCGATTGTGCAGAATCAGGCGGTCGACTGCTCAAACCGTGGAAGTCGATTGTGCAGAATCAGGCGGTCGACTGCTCAAACCGTGGAAGTCGATTGTGCGGAAAAGGCGGTCGACTGCTCAAACCGTGGAAGTCGATTGTGCGGAAAAAGGCGGTCGACTTCTCAAACCGTCTAAGTCACGACCCTGTTTTTTGGTTTATGCCAAAGTCGTACAGCTCAACCCTGAAAATTTTTGGTAAGATTCGGAATTAGCCCCGGAGCCGACGCATTAAAGGAGCCTATATTCCTAAACCGACACCCACATTATACTTATATTACAATCTTAAAGGCCTCAATATTTGTGAATGATCAACATTTTCCTCAGGGTTCCTGATTATACTTATACTATAAAGGAGACCAACGCCCTATTCCCTACACTAGGCAGGATTCAATGAAAGGCTTGTGAGACCAGAAGTCGGCGAGGATTTGAGCCGGTTCAAAGGGCATCGTGCGGATCGCTTTTGTGATGTGCCCATGCATATAAATAAACGGATGTCCTAGATATACGTGCTGGTCTCTACGAGCTTCACTTTATGTACAGTTTTACAGCTAAGGAATGCTAAAAATGTTCGCTACAAGTCCTTCTCCAGGTCTTGCGAGCCAATCAACAGCGGATATGCTGGAACAATCCAGCCACGACCTCAAAGAGCGTCAGTGGGACGGATTCTTCCCAAGCCGTGCAAACGTGAGAAGCTCCAGAAGCCCACTGACGAAGGATCAGTTGCTTCTTCGGCGTCCTCACCGCCAACCCCTCTGGGTGCAGCCCGGCCCTCATGTCAACACTATCAACGCCTGGTTTAAGGGACAAGCCCCCCGCTGGTGCTGCTAGTCTAGTGCAGGCTGAGCTGGTGCTGGTGCTGGTGCTGGTGCTGGTGCTGGTGCTGGTGCCGGTGGTGCTGCTGCTGCTGCCGTTGCTGCCGCTGCTGCTGTTTCGTGTCGGCGACGAGGACGATCACGATACCCAGCGCGATGGTTGACAAGCGTGGTTTCTATGGTGACGGACTTGAGGATCGTGATGAGAACGAGGAAGATGACGGTGACGATGGCGAGGCCTGGTGAGGATGATGATGACGATGAGGATGCTAAAAAGAGACTAAATTTTGATGATGGTGGTGAAGGCCGGCATGCCGATGACGGGTGCGACGGGCCGTAACATGGCTATGGCAAGTCTTTTTCGTTTTTGGCGCGTTGATCTGATTGTCTGAGGTCCGAAACCGTGTGCCCAAGGGGATCAACTGGATGTGACATTGGATGGAGCTGGGCACCCGGGAAACGAGAATCGTCCTTTGCGAGTACGGCAGTCGAGCAGATGCACAAAGCTGGCGATGCAAAGAATCGATGGTGCGCCTCCGTGTACACGTACGCTCGAGCGCGCACTTTTGTTTGCGGGTGTGTCGGTGTGTGTAATCGCCTGCATGTAACTGTAATTATACACGTACCTGCATACGGTGCGACATGGTAGGGTATTCAAGGGGTCATTAGGATTTAGTCTCAGGTGCAGGTCTGCATGTGCATACATACATATCTACACACTCGAGCGCGCACTCGTACATCATTGTGTGTATGTATGTGTACATGTATATATATATACATACATACATACATACATCTTGGTTTGCGTTTGCATCTATGTTTTTGCATACATGTATGCATGTATTTATGTGTGTACGTATGTATGCACACAATGCAACTGCAGAGCTCGCCGTTCGAAGCTTTTGAATTGTTACTATCATGTGAACATATCACGTCGCAACTTGGCAGCGGATTGTTGAGGTGAGTTCTATTGTACAGGAGTTCCGGAAAACTTATCGCCTGCCCAGGCTACGAGCGCCATTACTCTGGGCCGCGAAGTGAAGTGTCTCTGCTGCATGACGAAGGAGTTTGCTGGCTCCGGATGCTCGACCCGATGTTCCCCAGCCTGCAAATGTCAACGACGTAGCGTTGAGCGACATGTCAGACTTTTCTCTGGATTCGATTTTGAGTTTGTGCTCCACGGGTTCGGTGTTTTCGATTCCTCGCTCGCCTGGGGCACTTGCGCTCGGCACGCTTCCGTCCTGCTGCCGAAATCAGGTCCGGAACATCCACAACAGCTTTCTGTTCGGACGTGAATAGCGTGGGGTCCACAGACCCCGCATCAGGTCATAGCGGAAGAAGACATTCGATGCGTTGTCGTCTACCACGTAGCAGTATTTACGAGAATGCCGATACCCCAAAGTCGGGCCCAGACCTCGTATTGTGGGCCCAGCGGTACTTCTGCAAGGTAGCAGGGACAGCGACGATAGTGTAGCGTCCTCATCAGGCTTGGGGCAACAGCTTCACTCTCAGCTGCAACCTGGGTACACTGAGCCTGAGCCTCGGGATGACGAGAGTCTGGATGGTTGGGTCAGAGCTTTCAGTGTCCAGGATCCAGGCAGCTGAGGCGGTGTATAGCGGCTAGCGAGAGTAGGAGGAAACACGCACAGACCTGGCAACTTGTCCACATCTGAATCGGGGCCAGTGCTGTCTTCGATCTGCATGCAGAGTGTGTTCGCGACGGGCTATTCAATTGCTCATGGAGGTCTGTAATCTGTCGAGCCGTATCCCCTGCAACCCTCCTCAATTCCCGATTTGCACTACCACCCTTGGAGCGCCGAGGCTTCGATGTCTCCAACTGCCAAGCCGCATGCACCACCTCGGCAACCATGGACGTCACACTTGCGGACAGCACAGTCTCAGTCCGGGACTCGATCATCTCGATCATTTGCCTCGGGCTGCGAATGTTGTGGCAAGGGGATTTAAAGACCCGCCGCTTTGGTCTCTGGACAGATGCGCGGCGCTGGGAATTGATTCACTAGACTTTGACACATGTCCTGCTGCTGTCCGCTGGTTGATCGCGGACTGCATGGTGAAGTGTGTGAGTTCTGAAGGTGAGCCCAACCGCCACCCTGCTTAGTGGAGAGACAGAGCCTGGCACCTATCTTGTCTGCAAGAAAGTGTTGTGCTTCGATGCAGCAAAAGACGCTGGTGGTTTCCAGATCCCCGCTGTGACCGGAAAGGGAGTGAGAGAGGGAGAGAGGGATTGAGAGAGCCAGCCAGACGTTCCAGTGCGCGAGCTTCGTCGCTGTGGTGATAAACACAGCTGTTGCGGTACTGTGTTGTCACGAGTACTGTGTGCAGTATGCAGGTTCAACATCCCGTGTTCGGGACTGCATTCGGGCTTCACGGGCGTTTACACGCTGTCCTGCGTAGCCAGATGCTCAGTCTGTTTCAGGTTCTTGAAAAAAGCCAAGTTCTGACAGATGATGTCATCGACGGGTGTGACGACCTTCAGCCGAGAGGTCCTTTGACAGTTTCCCCCCCCCCCAAACTTGATCCAACAGAAAATCCCAGACTAGGAGTGAGCTGGGCCCCCGAACCCCTTCAACCATCTTCAACGAAGACCTCAGTCCTGAACCCAAATGATCCCGAAGCCACTAAGACCGGCGCTCTTGCGGCGGATACCTCCCAGTGCACGGAGCGGGGCTGCCTGGCCACCGACACGGTGGATGCCCGGTGCTCGAACAGCTGTTTGGTCTAGTCAGGCTTAGGGCCAAAAGGGCTTTATACGGCTCTGTAGGTCTTTTTGCAGGGAGGACATATTTGGTTAGTGCCTGCTTGAGTTTTGGGCTCCACGTTCATGCTCCCCCAAACATTGGTACAACGTGGGCCCTAGCTTTAACCCGGGCCCGAATCTAAATCAGCCTGCCCCATTGTTGTCTTGCCTTGTATTTCGTGACTTCAACCAACCACAAGCGAGATTTCGGAACATAACAGCTGGATGCGACGATCCTACGGAATCATGCCCCATCGGCATTAGCCTGCGTATTACTCGGTCGCAGCAGTATGTACTGATAGTCGGCAAGACTGGAAGCCCCACGACTTCACGGACTCTCCTTCTCAGGTCACTGTGGGAAGCTCGACCAACCAGGTGGGGAAGTTGCTGCTTAGGGTCCACTTTGTTCAGGGCGTAGAGCGAGCGTAAGGCATATACCGGGTATACAGAATTCCAGTAAACTGGGGTCTCGAAAGAGAACCCGCGCGTGTCGAGAATCCCTTCTGATTCTGTTCGGACCTTCAGCCAAAGCCTGTTTGCAAAGATTGGGCCCAGTGGTACAAGATGCATATGGGAGTTTCCGAAAGCAGGAGACCCTACTATAGTACCCTATATGATAGGATCCTTATTACAAGGATCCCCAAACAAGGTACCCCTAATTTTCGGAAACTCCCATATAGAGGTTGGAGAGTCATTCCAGGTGGCGGCATCCGAGGCCCTCAGTCATGGAGGTGCGACGCAGGGAGGGGCGTAGAGGGTTTGGGTGACCTGTTCCAAGGCCGGCAGTTTAGAGCTTGTACTGCGTGCGACTGATGCTTGATGGGGTGCTTGGTTGGACGACTTCGAGGGGCAGTAGCGTTGCAAGTTACAGTCGTTGGGAATTCACTCGGATGATCGTGCTGGTTGGGCTGTTGCCATCAGCCAGAGGCTGTCCAGGGCTGGGGGCTGCATGATTAGGCACAGACTGATAATACATGGCGAGAGCGGCTGTCACTTGTGGTCGGCGTTGTGCTTTTCTGCTCCCCGTAGACGGTTCCTAGTTCGGCCCCCCGTGGGTGTGGAACGGACGCAGGATCCATCGAACAGCTCTGTGAGGAAGTGAACACGCAGCCGGGGCCCGAAAGTTGCGATGCTTATGCCCGTAGCTTTGCATCAAGTCATGCTTCTAGGAAGACCCGGAAAGGAGTTGTTCTCCTGTTCGTGACCGTCCACGGCACAACATAAAGGAACGGGTTCACCATCGCACAGCAAAAAGAGGCCGACCCTAAGCAGGATGTAGCACCTTCCATGAGTAGACGTGCCGTGTCAAGCAGATGGTCACGTGTCGGCCACCCAGCGGTCCAACCAGAGCAGGGGGGAAGCAGATCTCAAAGGACGTCTCAGTGTCGCCCCTCAGATTTCACCCGTGCAGCTATTCCCAACTCAGTGTCTAGAGAGTCTAGAGTCAGAGGGCTACTCCAAGCTCAACCAGAAGCATCCGCAGCTGGTTCAGTTGGACTTGCCGAGGTACACCGGCACTTTGACCATTTCGTGCTCCAAGGGAGCGGTGTCACTGGCCTCCAGCACCTGCAATGCGCCTGCCTTGGGTCAGAGCCCTGAGCTTGAGGCCCACAAAAGCCGAAGCCCGACAGACCGAACTGACGACCCATCCCCACGAAAAAAACTCTGAAGCTCATATCACACATCGCTAAACCCCGCGACCCTGTATATCCCTCAGCCTAAACCCTCTAAGCCAGACGAGGTGAAGCCCTGCGAGCCCTGGGACTTCGTGGCCGCCACTCTACAGGGGGCCGGGCTGCGAGGGGGCTTTGGAGTTTGGAGGATCTGGGCTTCTGGTCTTTCGAGCGAGCTGGGGTGTATCGGGGTTCGAGGGTTCATGGGAGTCGAGGCTGATGACCGACTCGCTTCATGACAGGATTCGATCCGGTCGTAGGCCAACTGTCGGTGTCGATTCCAAGAACAGCAGCTCCGGCTTTCCGACTCGACACACACACACACACACACACACACACAACGCGGCATGATGGGCCTCAAAGGCCGCATCGCCGCGAGAATTCAGCTAGCTTCAACCTGCCCACTCACTGCACTCCTTAGCCCCCCGACCGCTTGGAGCGAGAATTAGAAGCAGAAGCGAGCGTCGTTGTGCCTTTGGAGGGAGGCTCCAGGACTGTACATCTTGCATCTTGCGGTTGGAATCCGAACGTTCCAGGATTCAGAGTTTCACGTCTGAACGTCATAAGTCGGAACAGATCGGTCTCGGCAGGCTTCGGGCCTTCTCTACCCGAAAGATCAGATCCCCAGCGGGTCCACAGGCTGCGTGCCCAGTTGCCGGTGATTTCAACATGCAGGCCCAAGAAGACGAATCATCTGAGATGTCTGTGATATAAAGAGCTCTGAAACTCAACAGGCTGCACTCGAACATTCACGGAAGGCCTCAAGAGAACAGATGAGAGCATGGACTCTTACACAGCAGTAGCAGTAGAAGGCATCTTTCCTCGCACAGTGCTGTTGCAATACAAACGGCACAAAAATATTTCATGTTGCGTCACATTGCGTGATGCATCAACAATGTAGGATTTATAATGAGGCTTGAATATCGGTGTGTGCCGAGTGCCTCAGGTTTCAAGACGCACATTCGGTAACTATGGTTTATTGGCATGCATGCATGCATGGCTGGATGGATGATGGATGGACGGATGGATGGATGGTTTTGGCGACAGCTCGTCATGGAGCTGTTATCGAGCATTTGCGGCCGTCAGAGAGCTAAGTTGCTGTTAGGATTCGTGAATCTAGGATAAGTATCTCGTGGACAACAAAGGCCTCGGACATATAACTTTGCACTGCATTGCGATCGTTCGTTGCGTAGTGCTTGTTTTCTTCTCTCATGCTGCCACCCCCAGATCCGAGCCCAAAGTGCACACCCGGCCACTTTCAGGTCCAGCGGAAGAGAGCCCTCATACTAGGGCCCGAAAGTTGACTTAGCTTGGAAAGCTCAACGCCCAAGCTTACCCCCAGGTACAGGGGAGTGTGGCGATGTGAACGTGGAGTGGAGTGGCGACTTTGAGCCGGGTTCCCACTTGCCTTGGTTCCAGACAAAGATCCCAAACAGAAGCTGAGCACCTGGGCTACTGGTACTCTGAGGCTGGCATGCACCCTGGGCGTTCTCCAGGCTGAGCGAAACTTAGATAGCGAACGAGGGAACTTTAAACTTTTGGCCTTATATATTTTCTCTCTCTTGGAAAGTTTGAGCTTTTTGGGGCCCGGTTGTTGAAGAAGAGAGGAAAGGGTGTGGTAGTATTTAGGGCGATGGGAGTCGCCAGGGCTCGTCTGAGACCCAGGAACCGGTCGATTCGGCCATGCCATAGCCTGCGTTTAAGATTCAGCCGGACACGTGAGTGGTTGGACTCAGTGCCAGGCAAACTTTCAAAGCAATCAACAGACGATACACCGTATTCACCCGACTCAAAGCCGTCGCTGCTTGCGCCAGGCGGGAGATTCGTCCGCTTGCAGGAGGACATGCTCGTCCTATGGATCAAACACGACGGCAACTTGTCCGCAATGACCGGGCAGTCTAGCTTTGTCGCCTACAACCTCCGAAGCTCTCCAAGACACGACTTTGGGGCTAGGCTAGGTAGTGTGTGTGCACTCTCCTGCGACTGTACGCCGCGGTTCCAAGCACTCTCCGTTGCACTTAGAAGGTCACCATCGATGGCAGCAGTTACACAGTTTCGCTCGGGTCTCAGCTGCAACGGGCCTGCGTGGCAAGAGTTGCAAGGAACGACTGGTCTTGCCAAGCACATGTGGCTTGATCGGAGGCACATGGTTACTGCATGAAGCTAGGAGCTAACGGTTTGTGTATGTTTTTTCTGTAGTTCTGGCTACCTCGTTCTGTTTGATGTCTAAACGGTCTACCTCGTGTTCCTGTGATTGTTGTTTGGCTGCCCAGCTCTCCGGCTATCTGTTCGGCAGTCTTTCCGTTTCTCTGCTCTCTCTCCGACTCTATCCCTTTCTCGGTCTCTCTATCGGTCCCAATCCCGTCGCTCTTAGTCTTGTTCGCTCGCTTGTGTTGTTCCTTCTCATTTTCCTCCTGTTGTGGTTCTGTCTCTTCTCTCACTCTGTCTCTCTCTCTCTCTCTCTCTCGCTCTCCCTCTCTCTCTCTCTCTCTCTCTCTCTCTCTCTCTCTCTCTCTCTCTCTCTCTCTCTCTCTCTCTCTCTCTCTCTCTCTCTCTCTCTCTCTCTCTCTATCTATCTCTATCTCTCTCTCTCTCTCTCTCCCACTCCCTTGATCATTTCTCTGTGTTTCGTTTTGCTGGATGAGTGCCATCGGCTTTGACAAATTGTGGATTTCAGCTCCATTGGCATTTTGTGGAGACGTCCGAGGCCTGCCGCGCGCATCTCGCACCTGGGCAATGGTGTGCAGGCCGACGTGTAGTGGGCTTTGGCATATACAATATATGTCTATCTGTAATATATATATATATATATATATACTTATATATACTTATATACACTTATATATACTTATATATACGTATATATACTTATATATACTTATATATACTTATATATGCATATATGAAGCCAGACCAGAAACAAACGACAAAACTCACACCGATCTTAGTCACCAGGCCTCCCACTGAAGCAAGTCCTGTGCGATTGAACGACGCCTCAGTACGGATCCCAGCCAAGCGACATGGCACAAGTGTGCACTGTCACGACGGATAGTCTCGTATGGGTCAAACGGCTTAAGTCGATAAGTCAGGCCGACAACAGCAAACGTAGTGATAAAGACATTCGGGGACAGCCTGGCCAACACATAACAGCACTAGGTTATTTGTAAATAGTTAGCCGCTGGTATCTGTCGGGATCCATCAACAAATAAGCGTAACCAAGTCCAAGCATCATCCTAGAACCACGAGCACACTGAAAGCTCCACCAGACACATCAGCCTCATGCGCAGGCCTGCGGCAACGTGGTGTACGGATATGGCGGAGAAGTTCAGCTGAGCTGCAGTGTTCCGAGCTCCTGAGGGTTTATGCTGGCTACGGACTGTTGGGGGTGGGTGTGTGCCTTCGGAGCTACCATGGTAATAGACCAGAGGCTTGGCAAATCTGTTCGGAGGTTGAGGTCAATCTTGGTGTCCAAGCGAGGCAGTCTTTCTGCGTAGTGTCACTGTCGTGCCGGTTAGGAGCAGGTTGGCCGCGACGGTAGTTCGCAGAGGTCACCCGAAAAGGTTTCAAAGTAATGCTGCTTTGATAGAACCGGATCGCAAACCATCATGTACGAACCGAAACGAAAATGCACCGGGAAACGGGAAATCATTGTAGTACATTCACACGGACACCTCAGAACCAGAAGATCCTGTCTCGTACTTGTAGCAGGGTTCACACTTGAGAGAGGGAGAACAAAAAAGAGAGAAAGAGCTATCAGCCCTGAGGCGATGACGGCACCTTATCAGTGACCAGCCACAGCTGCCTGCCCGAACCTTGCCCGGCAGCTTTGGCTGCATTGAAGAAGGGCGGTGAGGTGCTAAGAGGGGCGACTACGCTTCGGACAAGACTGGTATCATTTTGTTGAGGCTGATGAGGCTGACGCAAGATTCGTGATGTGCTGATGAGGGCATGTCCCCACCCTTACACTTTGAGTCTGGGGTTTTGCCTTTTCGGGTTTATCATTCTGGGTCTTCGTGGCGGAGTCTGAGTGGCCGTTCTTGAAGTTTGCTGCACGGTCCCTTTACTGGTTGTATATAAGGGCACTTCTGTTGCTGCCCGAAACACCCACTTGCAGTTGTCATGTTCGGATCATTACATCCGCAAAGATCGCAGACGTACAGCAAAGAAGGTCGTCAAGCCATGATGATTTGCAAGCATCACTGCACTTGCAGCTATGACGGACCAGTAATCACCGCGTTTGGCAGCGAGAACCACAGTGGAAGTGGCAACACACTGGTCTTGTGTCGCAAACCACGAACCATGACTAGTATATCCGTTTAGTATCATAATAGCGAAGGTCGTGACGATGCCACATGCCTGGTATCGCAATAGTGGTCATGACAACGGGCATTCTAGATGCAGTGCTTTCATATTTGTCACAAGAAGCTGTGGAAGTGGGTGAGAAGAAACGGCATCTGTAGAATTTCGTCCATCTGCGCAGTGACGACTTCGCTGCCTCAGGCCGGCCTTCTCATCGAGACCACCGTCTACGGTGTCTCGGGCGCCCGGATCCCGGACATGTCCCTGAAAGCTATCACAGGCAGAGCTACCAACCTTTGAAGGATGATAATATATACTGCTTTGGAAGTACTGGCAGTTACAGTGAAATCGTTGATAAGACACCGATTAGCACGTCATACACATCTTGGTGCGTCGGCTTCTCAAACTTTGACGTCCAGGTGTCTCAGCTCCTTGCCGATGTGGCACACGGTGGACAAGGGCCGGTGGATTGCAACCGCGCGGAGTCCCAGGAAGAATCCATGGTTGGTCCCCGTTTTCGACTAAGGCGGAGAGCATGGGGTGGAGGGATTTGATACCTTTGGTTTTACGGTCAGTATTCAAAGTTTAAGCTGTGCTGCAGGGGCTAGGTTTGTGTGGCTGCACAGGTGCGGTGCAGCCAGTGTACGGGCCAAAGTTTGTCGCAAAAAACCCTTTCCTGCTGTCGAGCTTCTTACCGGACACAAGAGCAAGCAGGCAGCTACACACTCTGAGTGCTTCTTTCGTTCACCATCTCGCTGCGCCCACTGCTTCCGCGTCTTGCTGTTCGCACCTCGTGCTCTCCTATCGTGAACTCACGGATGCACCTTTAGGGGCCCTTCGGACAAAGACGGACCTGTTTAGGATCTTGAGTGTGCATAGGAGGATCGTGCTCATGGTTATGCCGGGCTTTTGCAGCCATCTGAGGACAAACAACCCCTAGACCATAAGCCCTGAAACTGCCTGCCCAATCTGGGCTGGAGAATGCTCGTTCGCATGCAGGCACCACAAGACCCCCAAAAACAGAAAACTTCAATTGAGCCTGCCAGTCAGATAAACCCTGAACCCTAAACCCCTAAACCCCTAAACCCTAAACCCCTAAACCCCTAAACCCCTAACCCCTAAACCCTAAACCCTAAACCTGCCAGTCATCAACCCGGAGACGACGGGAACTTTCCAAGCTGCCTGTGCCGGCCTCAGGAGGCCTCAGGTCTGAGTAACAGTGGGGCCTTAGAGTAGGGCTCTGTGAAATTGCCCTATATCAGGGATACCATGAGGGCTCTATGATATAATATAGGGTCTGAGTAGGGCTTTGGGGTGCTGGGATCTGCTAGGATTCAGGGTTGAGGGTGTTGCTGTAGGGTGTTCTGGCCTGCGTGTTTGGGCACTTTGGGTTAGGCTTCAAGGATGTTGGGCTCCGGTAGCACCAATGTGTGATGCCAACACTACTATCTGCAACCACGAGCCTTGTTGGCAATGTGTGCCATGGTCGTCACTCTTACCAGCTCATTCCTTTGTGCCTGCCCAGCACATTCTGGAAGAACATCAACATGCAATCTCACCACGCCCCCTTCGACTCACATTCCGCTGCCCTTGGATTCAACCCTACGCACCTCTATTAAAACTTTACACCTCGGGCTATTTTATCGGATCTCAGCTGCTACTTGATACAGACAGGAGGACATCTCCTTGCTGAGGTTCCGCCAAGTCTCTTTCCCTGGTGAATGAGTCGGCATGTACGAGGCCCGGGCCTCAGAGTCCATGTATAGGGTTGAGGGGCGTTGAGGGTTCAGGGTCTGTAAGGGGTCTGTAACACTGAGAGAGAAAATCATGTCTTAGGACCGACTGTGCTCCTGCACACAAAGCTGGTGCAGCGTAACATGCTGAACGTGCGGAGCCGTTCAGTTCAGTGCTGGGAGGCATTGCAACGACATCATACTTGCCTTTCTGCGTAGTTTCACAAGCTCCAGGTATCTCTGCCCACAGTACCTCAGAACCCTTCCTTCTTCTCACAGTGTTCTTGTGATTCAGTTTCGCTATTGGTATCTGAGACTTCAACATGAGCACGCCCATGACATGATCGTAGGAACAGCCCTGCAGAGGTCTTGCACGGAGACCTCGCCGGTACAGGTGAAGGCCGCCTTGTCACATCAGGGATGTGCAGAAACTATATCACAAGGCATTCATAGGCTATGTCATAAGTAATGCAATACCATAATATAGTGTACTATGATATAGCCTTAAAGTACACTAAATCACAGTCGGTCCTATTGTAGTCTACTAGGCTTGGAAGAAAAGGAAGCTCCAGAAGAGTCGGAGTTACCAAGACTGCCAACTCGGCTGGATTTAGCAAGCGGTGCCGCCTGCTCTCGCGTCATATATATATATATATATATATGTATTATGTATGAATATAACAAAACATACCACTATATATATATATATATAGATACACACACATGTAGAAGGTTGGCAGGCTGCTGACCTGCGTAGGATGCAGGTTTCTGGCGCATGTTTCAGAATGCTGAGCTTCGGAGTCCGGCCAGCAACAGCCATGGAAGCTTACAGAGGGAGCTTTGTTCCAGCATGCTCCTTCCTGCTGAGCTCGACGGCGACACCTTCACAGTGATTCCAGCGCAGCTGATCGAGTGCAGGCCTCAGGTCGAAAGCAGGGCTGCAATTCCCGGAATGGGGGCCCCTAAACCCTAAACCCGAACTCCACGGAGAACTCACTGGGCCGAGCGCGAGCAGGGTGGTAGCAGGTATCAATATCAAGCAGCAACCCTGGAAGCACCAAAAAAGCATGAGAAATCCTGTCACCATCCCGTGCGATTCTACTACAGGCATGGAAACAGCGCCTGGCAGAACTGCAGCGCCGGACTCGGGCTTCGTGGGCACCACCGCGATTGAGGGACCGGGCAACCACAATAATCCCTTCCCCCATGTATTAAACACCCCTACAATAATAATAAGAGCACTTTGGGGCCAGTCCTCCCGAAATCATCCCTGCCCGTTAAAAGCTAATTGGCACTGGGGGACCAGAGCAAGAGCAGGATGAAGATCAAGAGCAAGAGCCAAAGCCAGAGGAAGACCAGAAGCAATAGCAAGAGCAAAAGCCAGCGCAGGAGCGAGAGCGAGAGATGCAGCAGGAGCAGTAGCAAGCGCAAGATCCCTCAAAAGTGACAGTAGGGATAAACATGCACCCTAATGATAAAAACACTTTCCGAGTGTTTATTGGGGGGACGGTGGGGCCCACCACGTTTCATTTTAGGGAGAAGTTTGGCAAAGCAAGCGCATTGGCGAAAGTTAGCCCGGGGTGGTAGGATGAACCTTGTGGGTCGTGCTTACGGAGCCCATGAGATGGAAGAGATGTCCTGGTCAGGCACCTTCACTTCCGGATATAGTGGCGAGATCCAGCTGGGCTGCAACGACAACGTGACACAGGCGTCCATCTGGCGGGTGTGAGGGAAGGCTGAGTACGAGGCATTCTCACCACAAAGGCTTAGAAAGCTCCAGTATCAGCCGCCCAGCGGGCTCAACTTGTTAACTTCAGTGTGGAATGGCAACATTGCTAGCGCGTTGGTGGTCGATTTATGTTGGACAGCTGCTTATGCGCCTTCAACAGTTCTTGCACTCCCTTTTCGTGTAAGAATAGGTTTGGAAGGTACGTACATTGGAACAACCGATGATTCAGAAACTGACACTTGATTCAGAAACTGCGCTTCAGAAACTGCGCTTCAGCAACTGGTCGCGCTTCAGAAACTGGGCCCGAAACTGCGCTTCAGAAACTGCCGCGCTTCAGAAACTGCGCTTCCGAAACTACCGCGCTTCAGAAACTGCTCTTCGGCAACTGCGTACTTTGGGAACAGAGCATCCATGTCCAAAGCCTAATGACGTCCATGGTCTACTGCGATTTGGCAACAGAGCATCCATGTCCAAGCCTAATGACGTCCATGGTCTACTGCGATTTGGGAAGAGAGCATCCATGTCCAAAGCCTGATGACGTCCATGGTTTACTGCTATTTGGGAAAAGAGAATGCATGTCCAAAACCTGATGACGTCCATGGTCTACTGCGATTTGGGAGAAGAGCATCCATGTCCAAAGCATGATGACGTCTATGGTCTACTGTGATCTGGGAGCAGAGCATCAATGCCCAAAGCCTAATGACGTCCATGGTCTACTGCGATTTCGGAAAAGAGCATCCATGCCCAAGACCGAATGACGTCCATGGTCTACTGCGATTTGGGAAAAGAGCATCCATGTCCAAAACCTAATGACGTCCATGGTCTACTGCGATTTGGGAAAAGAGCATCCATGTCCGAAGCCTAATGACGTCCATGGTCTACTGCGATTTGGGAAAAGAGCATCCATGTCCAAAGCCTAATGACGTTAATGGTCTACTGCGATTTAGGAACAGAGCATCCATGTCCAAAGCCTAATGACGTCCATGGTCTACTGCGATTTGGGAAAAGAGCATCCATGTCCAAAGCCTAATGACGTTCATGGTCTACTGCGATTTGGGAACAGAGCATCCATGTCCAAGCCTCATGACGTCCATGGTCTACTGCGCTTTGGGAAGAGAGCATCCATGTCCAAAGCCTGATGACGTCCATGGTCTACTATGGTTGCTAAATCAGTCGTTTTGGTTTCCGAATCAAGGTCTAGTTTCCGAATCAGGCTTTCCAGTTTCCGAATCAGGTTTTCCGGTTTCCGAATTTTCCGTTTCCAGTTTCTGAATCATGGCTGGTTTCTGAATCAGCCGTTCTGGTTACCGAATCAGTCGTTTCAGTTACCGAATTTTTCGCCGACCCGTACATTGTGCCTGCGGCCCCGCTGTCTTCAGGTGGCCAGCGAACAGTGCATTCCGAACCCATGTTGTGTCCTGAGTCTGTTTTCGAGCCTGCATTCATGATTGCGCTTCTGGTTAGGATTATGGGTATGACTGTACTCGTAGTTATTAGCATATTGCTACTACCAGAATAATTACTCTCGATTGGGTTCGTAAGATCACTGGTGCTTACGAGTCACTACAGCCGTGCCATGCAGGAGCCCCAAATTAGGATGTCCTTAAGGGGGGGTGGTCCAAGGGGGGTAGGTAACCTAGTAATCCCCATTATTCCCCAATACTCCCTAAGCTTCCCTAAGGTTCCCCAAAGCTCCCTAGTACCCTCCCCCCTTGAACCACCCCCCCTTAAGGATCCTATAACCAAAGCCTAATTGCCCTGCAACCTCGCACCCATGGATTTGAGGGTTTCCGCTGCCGTCTGAGGCGCTGACCCGCGCGCCGCGAGAGCCCCAGAGTCTGAGCTCAGCAGCTGTGCCCGGTAGACCGGGAAGCCAGGGCTAAGGCAGCTTAGGGTTAGGGAAGTTGAGATTTAGGGAGTTTGTTGCTTTGGGGAGTTTCGCGCTTGGGGAGGGGGAGTTTCGGGTTGGGGTCGGAGAGTTCAGGGTTTAGGGAGCTGTTCAGGGGCACTTGTGCACAATGCCGCTCTTACAGTTCACAAGGGTCGGACTGCACTGTGCTGCTCATCGAAGTCCTGCGAGTTTCCCGAAAGACATGGCCACGATCAGGGCTTTGAACACAACTGAGTGTCAGGACGGGGCTACGACAGTCGATGCCTATGACAGCCAGACGCTCAACATATCTGCTTGCTGCATTCGTGTGTCTTCTCGGTGCAACTGAAGTCGCAACTGCTCAACAAAACAACTGGGGGGAGGAGGGAAGAACACCGAGCTGAAGAGCCTCGCTCAACCTATCTCTTCGCCGAGGAGCGCCCCCCCCCACTTGCACAGTTGCCGGGGCCAGGCCCCGAACCGGTCCTCGAAGCTTTCCTCATGATCAACCTAAAGCCCTAAGTCCTGAACTGCCATGCCCTCAATCGGCATCCCTCCACCAAGATTGGTACGGCGACTGCAGTGCCGTGAATCCGAGCCTCGTGGGGCAGGCCGGGGGTGGCTCAAGGGCCGGAGGATGGCGGTTTCCATTGTCTACAACTTCAAGGTCAGTACGATGACGATTGCTGCCATTCTCTGCCGCCAGCGAATACGAAGACGACAATGGCGTCCAGGACTAACAGTATCAGCGACGCATTGTAGATCGTTTGAGAGCATCTACTCTGCAAACATCGCCCTTGCAGTCTCAGCCCAGGACTGTCTAGAGCGTAGGTCCACTAGCTTGACATCAGGAGAAGCCTTGAGAAGCCAAAGACTGCTGCTCTGTCCCTGCAGATTCACTACTCCTGCATTGGCGGGCAGATCCGCACCAACAGCTCGGCGACATCCCCGGCCTGCTGTCGGTCTTTCCAGTTCCAGGGGAGGTTTCGGCTAGGGCCAGCTTCTTCAGGATCCCGTTCTGTACTTCCGGACTGCTTCGGCTGATCCGTAACTTGTACTGATCGCCTGCCCTTCCTAGTAGTTGACATTCATTTCGACTGCATCAAGAACCCAAAGATCCCCATGGTTCTAGCCAGCCTACGAGACTCCGGCGAGGCTTGAGCGTTTCGTACTGCAGTTTGTGGTTGCGGAAACGGTGCTTGCAGTGTTCGGCCTCTGCGTGTTGGTGTATCCTTGCCTTGCGAGGTGCTCATAGTGGTGATGGTGATGACGATGATGATATTGGTGGTGTTGTTGGTGGTGGTGCATGTTGTGGTCATTGTAGCTGCCCTCGTCGCTGCAGCTGCAGCTGCTCGGTTTGCTGTTCTCGTCTTCCTCGGCTTCAACTGCTGTTGATGCGTCGTGCGTCGGCATGACATGTTGCTTGTCCGCATTCGATCTTTGTACATTGAACAGCATCGACTGGAAATGGAATGGTTCGAGCATTGTCGGATTTCACCTGATCGCTCCGAAAAAAAGGGTCGGAACGACCTTAAAATCCCCTATTTACGTGTAGTCATAAGTTATGGGTATAATATCCCCCAAGACCCCCATTCTAATCCCTTTTGCAGACCGGCCCTTTGCGAGGCCTGCCAAGGCCCGTGCAACCACACCCAGAACTCGTCGGAGCGATGACTGGGCTGTTTAGGGTTTAGTTTGCACGTTTTGCTACTCAACACAGAGTATTTGGGTGGTTTTTGAAGGGTTGCCCTCAGCATATGCTCACGAGACTGGTGCTTGTAGGCTGAGTAATGTTGAAGGAGCCTGATTAGCATAGTACAACATAAGCGAACAGAACAGAGCATAGCATCTTACGATAAGATTTAATTGGGCTGGGCATGTGCGTTTTGATTTTGTATGCTGTGTGTGTTCTGTGTTCCCTTATGCTCCTGTTTTCGTGCTTCTCAAGCTACTGAACATAAAGTTATATATTGTGCTGTAGTACAAAACAGCATAATTTCACAGCAAGCCCAAGATGCCTAAATGCTTTCAACATGGGGGTCCTCGTCTTCAGAATGTCGGAGACCGGAGCTGCACACTCATTGCACCCTTGGGGGAGTCATAGTGGCTAGTCGTGTTAGGATCCGTAGGACTCGTTGCAGCGTGTGCTTACATTCATTGAGCTCCCCGTTGATTACGTGTCCGAGGCTGCAGCTAGCAGCTAGCATCTCACCCAGCGCGCGATGCGATCGCCAGCGGAGTCGACAGTTCCCTTGTCCGCTTGAGGAGGAGACGCTTTCTGGAGGAGTGGAGAACGTCAGCTGCACCATCTTCCTGGGCAGAGGGAACCTCAGGATGTCTCTGCGCGGGTTTGTCTCCACAATGCATTGGGCATCAGATGCACTGGTACCAGTACCACGCATCCCTGCATAATAGAAGCACAGCAATCCTGAGGCCAGTGGGACGGCATGGCCTACCTGCTGTGCACAGATGGTGTCGGGCGCTCTATTGCTAAACTGATGACTCTCGCCCTAGAGAGGCTCAAGTTGCAGCTTTCCTGGCACATCCACTTATAGCTTGAGATTGTGCCGATGCGGCAGCTGTACCGTTCTCGTCGTGAAAGTAAGGTATGTGCAGTGCAGAAGCTTGGCCTTTGCAAAGCCCCAAGTAGGAGAAAGTACTTGGGATGACTCTGATTCTTTCATGAACTGAAGCCTGAGCCCTGTGGGGGCTTGCTACGGTTGCATCTGAGTTGTAGGAACCCAATCAATGAGCAGCGGAGGTTTCAACGGCGGACACGGCTGGCTGTGCAGAGGCCTTCCGGGGTTCATGAGTTAAGGGCTTGCATGTTCAGGGTTTCGGCTTTCAGGGTTTGGGGCTGTGCGGCCGTCCGGCTTTGTTCGGCAGTGCCTTTACAGACGTCACACGAACCCTCAGCCCCAAGCAGCCGTCTTATCTGATATCATTCTATGAAGTTATATTACGCTGTATTGATTGTATCGTGATATATCATACTAGATCCTGGCCAGTGTATGTTATAGATGTATATACATGCACATTGCATTGTATCGTGTGATATTACGATGTTCCGCAATACTATACAACACTGTATCAGATGAGACTGTCTGATTTCTATACCAGACTAGACTATACTATCTTGTCATATTACATATGACGTATTTCATCATACCGATTGTTTGTATCACAGCGTCGAATACCATGAGATACTTTATTGTGCTGTATTGTGATATGTCAGGGCATGCATTGTACTCCGTTCTGTTCTAGTCTGTCCTATTCTATGGGTCACTGTAGTCTTGTACAGCATAGCGCAGTACCGTCTGGTATAATATAGCAATGTATAGTAGAGTATAGTACATACCCATAGACTCCATAGATTACCTTATAGGATTCCAAATATGAACCGCAAAAAGGAACTACTATGGAGTCTATGGGTACATTCAACTACAGTATATCTTGAAAGGGGCCCCCACCCTGTAATAGTGGTGTAATGAGAATATAATAGGGCCCTAATATAATCCTTATAGTCACTATGACAGGCTGGGGGCCCCTTCTAAAGTATGTCAGATCCCTTTGTTGCGCAAGGCCTGCTATCCGACGGAGTCGGCGACGGTCACCGTGGTGGGAGAGAGCTGGGCGCCCTAGAGCCGAGGGCTGGTCCACCAGCGACTGGTGAACGCAAAAACGATAGTAATGCTAATCATATATATATATATATATATATATTACTACGAAATACTGATGACAGTAATAGTAATAATAGTCGCAGTAGTAGTATTATTATTATTAGTAGTAGTAGTAGTAGTAATGACAATAGTGTCCACTACTGAGATTGCTCGTTGAGTGCAGCCGAGGCAACGATGCTTCCTTCTCCGCGCGAACGAAATCCGGCGAGACCGAGACAATGCAGTGCTCCAGGCCACGCGGTTGGACGTCAGGAATCGAAAAATCTGTTGCGGCCCTCGATGTTTGCACCCAACTTCACGAAGGCTTTTGCGATATGTTACGAAATCGTTGACTATTTGTTCTCCCTGTGTCTAGGCAATTCGGGTCATGCGTTGGCGGACAGATTAATCAAAAATGCACACTCCTATGCATTTCCGCATCTCCTTGGCCAGCTTGGATTCGGCGTACCACGGCACGCTGACGCTGTCTTGCAACAATGGCCTGTCGGGAGCACAGACTGCGCGGCAGGCAAAACATGTCCAACCTCTGCCGAAGCTGTTATCAAGCTACACCGGCAGCCTCGATATGCAGAATGCGTGTCAGCAACACCTATACTTGGTTTTGGATCTGTGGGCGAAGAGGCAGACATCTCTGCTTCCTCACATACACTGCACCGAGTAAAGATGCTATCGCACATTCAGGAATCAGGTCTACGGGAAATCTTCTTCGGAATCTTCCGCGCACCTGCTGTGATTGTGAACAAACCAGCCTCACTCTTCAAGGTTGAGTCCCAGCCATGCGTGCCACAAAATGTGCACGACTTCAACAAGCAGCACGGCTGATATTGATGTTCTGTGGGCTGTTCCAGGGTGGTGGGTACAGGACATCTTTCCGCAGACTTTGCTTCACGAAGTTGCGCCATGTTCCCCGGACAGTGCGCTTTCGGTTTTGGGCCTGCGCCGGTGACCATTATCTTCTCGAGTATAACGTGTGATATTGCATAATCTCAGAGCGTATCCTCGACTCACGATGCTGATGATGCTGATGCCGATGCTGATGTGTGTACGTGACGTGTTTGAGGGTGTGTGTAGCCTGCGCATATTCTTCGAATTCTGCCTCCTGTAGTAGGGAGGCTTGAAGGCTTGAGCTGCACAGTTAAACAGCAACGGCCTTCCCAAAGCGTCAGCATGGCATGTTTGGGAAGCAAAGCTTGCAAAGGGTTAGTTAGTTGTTGAAGGCATTTTAAAGCGAGTGAGAAGATTGGGAATACACTTCCTGACAAGCAGATCCTAACACCAACAGGAACCTACCTTACGGCCGTGTCGGGGACAGGTAAGTCGAACGAAACCCGGACCTGTGAAAAGTGGGCTGAAGGTGCGACTGCGGTCGTCGGCGGGCAGTCTGTCACGGCCGCACCCTGTGCAACGTTGTCATTCGTGCGTTTGCTTTGGACCCGTAAGCTTCGGCCAGCAGTCTTGAAGGGCATGCTTGGGCATGCCGAATGCCGATGTGCCTGCAAAGCCCCGGAGGCCGCGAAGTTTGTGAACTCCTCTGAGCCGAGGTCTCGCCGGCCTCCGACATCCTTCACCAGGGGGCCAGAGGGTGGTGTGTCAGGGATCGTACCTGGTTTTCGAAAGGAAAGATTCGTGGGGACCTGCTGTTTTCCGGGCCTGCAGCCAGCTTCCAATCTATGCGCCACGTCATTCCAAGAGCTGTGTGACTAGCAGACAGATTCCGTACAAGAAGTCTGCCCTGCCCGCAGACCCTGAACACGACCTGTGATGGAGCAGTGTCGGGCCGGCGTCTTACAAGTGTCCATGTCCACGGCTTCCTTCCGACTTCTAACCACCAGGTAATACACGGTGACACCGTAATCAACCACAGCTGCCCAAGCATAAGCAGTAGTATCGTACCAAGAGTAGCATCAAAGATTTGTGTTACGATACATTCCATGCTACTCCCAGTACTGACAACATAGATGCGTTTATACTCAGAGCTGCGCCTTCTCGGTGCTCCTCTAGGACCTGCATCTGAATAGAATCAGCAAGTGCATCATCTACCTATTCCTTTAAACTGTATCGGAATATACTGTTGATGCCATAGATGGGTGGACATGCGCTCTCATAGCAATATGAAAACATGAATGTATACCTACACACTCTGTAGCTGCACAGATCGTTGATACAGAAACAGACAGCTAACATATAAAGAATCCAACAAGTTTAGGTAAAGCAATCAATACACATATATTATGTAAATATATGCACACTCGCACACATACTTAAGTAGTGCGCACACATGCATAACACACATGTGCACACACATTTGCACGTTTACTACGCCTATCAGTTTCGCGTGCATACACATGTATGCATGTGTGCATGCATGAAGGTAGATAGGTAGGCACGTAGGGGTATGCAGGTAGGTACACGTGTATGGTTGTGTGTATGCATGTACATGTGCGTATATGTATGCTTACTATAATATAATGAAATATTATACATACATATATATATATATATAAATTTATATGTGTGTGTAATTGTATGTATGTATCTGTATGCAGGTATGTAACACATGTCATAGTACTGTGTCACTGGTAGTTCTCTTCCCGCGTCCGATGCTGCTGCCCAATCTGCAGGTTATGCCAACGATATCGTGCTAAGCTGCAACGAGGGTGTCCTCTCAGCAGCTTGGCATCTTCCAGCATGCTTCAGAGCAGGATCCGGCAGCCGTTTAATTTTACAGGATTCATTACAGGTTTTGCACGGCTCGCTGTTGTTGTGCTTCATGCTTCGCACATCCAGGCAGATGCATCGGCGTGCAAGGCGCCGTGTGCTGGCCCCAGCACGTACATGAGGTCGTGTGCCGAAAAGCTTCTGCTGTGATCTCACTCTCATGCGGTTGTTTTCGTTTGCATCCGAGGCAGCACAGGATCTGACGTTACCGTCAACTTCGCTGGCTCCCCGCACTCCGTGAGCCTCACATCGCAAATCCTGCAACCGGGCTTTCATCATGATTTCGAATCGTACAATAAGGTCTTTGCAGGCTGATGCAAGGATTCGATTTTGCAGTGTCTTCTGCTGGCGATGGTATCGTCGTTAGAGTCACTTGTTTGTGTATTCTGCCATTTTGACCATGATCTGTCCCTAAAGATGTACTGCCGGTGTCAGCAAGTTAGTGTCACGGTTTCAACAACCAAGGCACGGACAGACCGGCACGGAGAGCCCGGCACCCAGACGAAGGCTTTGGTGAGCCAAACCTCGGTCATGATTGTCATGAGGATGACGACGACATCTAATGGAAAGGAAGATGGTGGTTCTGATTGAGACGACAGGTGATGTGATTGCTGTCGTTGCTGCTGCTGATGCTGATCGCGATGATGATGCTGATGCAGGTGGTGGTCATGATGAAGGCGATGCCGGTGATGCTTGCTGCTAGCATCTAGCAGTAGCTTTGGGGCAAAACTGGCGGACTGTGAGAAGGACAATGGCTCAGGGCACGATGCGTACCATGCTGGTAGACGACTCCGACGACCATGGTGATCATGATGGTGGTGGTAAAACCCCACAAGTAGCCTGTACTGATCATCTGCCCATGATTTCCATTCACCCCGAGCTTTCGGACAATTGTTCATGCTCTTCGTCGTCTTTGGTTTCCCGGGAGTTGCATGTCATCCTGTGCCAATCCAAGGATGAGGGAGAGAACGGACGATAAGCCGAGGCTGCAGCGATGCTGACTCCGGCTACATGGGGGACATCGTTGCGGCCTCGAGTGCTTCTCGAATCTGCCAACCAGCGGGGCAACGTGACGAGATCCTGCATGTGTGTACTTATGCATGCACACATGCGCATGAAACGGCACCTGCAGTTCTTATGTCCAGGCATGTATGAATAGGCACATGCGCTCGTGTTTGCACTCTCTCGGTCGCTCGCGTTGTCGCTGTCTCTCTCTCTCTCTCTCTCTCTTTCTCTCGCTCTTTCTCCATGTGCGTTGCAGTTCCGTGTCGGAGACAAAATATAACAAATTTACTGCCGTCTTTCAAGGCATCGTAGGACCTCCAGGGTGGGTAGCTTTCGTCCTTGACTTGCTTAGCCGGGAGCTGCAATTCCATGCCACTTCTTATACCTGAGACAACGCAGCTGCAGCGCGAAGGGTATACTTACGTCTGCCTACCTACCTTATACCACCTTATGCCATCTTACACCTGTACCATCTTATACCCAGCTAGCCATAAAGGGGACACAAAGAAGCTCTGCAGGTCATCCGATGCTCCGATGGAACGGCGACCCAGAGCTCCGAGGCCTGTACGGAGAAGCCCTGCGAGGAGGAGCCCCACCGCGGCGAGCTTTCTTTGAAGAAGGTAGCAGTAGTAGTAGTAGTAGTAGTAGTAGTAGTAGCAGCAGCAGCAGTAGCAGTAGCAGTAGCAGTAGCAGTAGCAGTAGCAGTAGCAGTAGCAGCAACAGCAGCAGCAGTAGTCGTAGTGGTGGTGGTGGTGGTGGTGGTGGTGGTGGTGGTGGTGGTGGTGGTGGTGGTGGTGGTGGTGGTGGTGGTGGTGGTGGTGGTGGTGGTGGTGGTGGTAGTGGTAGTGGTAGTGGTAGTAGTTCTGCGAGTAGTGCTAGTAGTGCTAGTAGTGCTAGTAGTGCTAGTAGCAGTAGTAGTAGTAGTCGTGGTGGTGGTGGTGGTGGTGGTGGTGGTGGTGGTGGTAGTGGTAGTGGTAGTGCTCTAATACATAGCAGTTCGATCAAACGCCCTAAGCATTGGAAACTACACGTGTATGATGCTATCATCAAGAACAAGTTGCTGTATGGGCTTGAAACTGTTCATCTGACACAGGCCATGCAGAAAAAACTAGCGCTTTCCAGCTGCGAGGCTTACGGAAGATTTTAGGGATGGATACCATTTATGTAAACCGAGCAAACACGAATGCAAGAGTCATTGAGAAAGCTAATGCAGAAATAAGTGGGGTAAACAAGGTAAAACTCTTTTCGGAGTAGTTGATGGAAAAACGTGCGAAGCTGGCTGGACACATTATGCGTACGCCCCAACTAGACCCCTTACGCCAAGTACGTTACCAGCCAGATTCGGCACAGATGTTCCACACTGGCAAGAGGAGAGTAGGGGGACCGAGGCAAAATTGGTTGTTCTACACGAACAAGTTCATTTGGGAATCACACATGTCTCGTCCCTTTGCTCCTTATGCCAACACAAACAGGCAAGATCAAGACATGTATGAGAATGCAGTCAGCCGCCATTTTTAAAGCCGTCCCACGTGCCCACGGTCGCACCATCATGCCAAGAGAGGCAGGAGACTATGGCTACTTGTATCAAAAATGATATCGAGCCCTAGTTTGTAGGGTTCTGATGATGATGGTGATGATCAATGAAGGAAGGCACGAAGCAATGCAGCAAGGAGCCCCTAGTTTTCGTAACCCTCCCACCAAGGCATTTAGCATCCAGGGTCGGGCCATGTTTGCGATTTTTGCCTGTCACATCAGTGGTTGTCCTCATATCTGACTGCCATCATGTCTCACGTCGGCAGCATGCAGCTCATCGTGGCAATTTTGAGTGACCCAAACTGATGAAGGAGCTGGCCTATCAACTATCTGTTGCTGGGAAATCTCTGGGCAAGGAGCTCGCAAGCGAGGCAAGCTTCATGCAGGGACACAGAGAATTCTGTTGCTTGGGATGCTTCTTCTGTACTCCTCCCAGTCGAGTACTTACAAACAGCGACTGCAAGAAGATGTGACCTCCCGAAGAGCCTTCCTCGGTCCTTGGGTGCTATCGGCAGACGCCCCACGCTGCGACCATCATCGAGTCCTGTACGGAAGCCTGGGCCCCAGCTGGCGGCCTCCGGCCCCTCGGGGAGACATCGGCCTTTTTGGGGGTTCTCGGCCCATCCTCGGGTTCTCAGAAGGTGGCAGAGTCCGTCCGGGCTTTAAGCTTTCCGAAATACTGCAACTGCACCTCGTCTCCTCCGGAGGGGTTTGTCGCTGGTCGTCGTGCTGAGCTCGTGCTATCGCTTGGGTGAGGCCAACAATGCCTACGACGGCATCATCACTGCGTTCACCTGAGGATATCAGCACTTGTCGCTACAAGCTCGGTAACGAAAGCCGTTACTTGCTTAGGTGACTTGCATCCGCGGCGGCCTCACCGCCGACCCGTCTGCTTGCGTCCCTGCTTGCCAGCTGCTCAGCCTCTGGGCATCTGGCAAAGAAGTCGGAAGGTACAGTACTTGCAAGGCGGCAGCATTTTCACCTTACATGAATTTGCAAAGATTGTCGGTGCAGCTTGACAAAGACATGCAGTTGTAGTGCTAACATGCTCAAGGCCACTGCCATATCAACCTACAACCTCGCTACCCTTAAGGCCCCCTTCATATCGAAAGTCCCCTCAACCGGAAGTCCAATCTACAAGCTTCTTGAAAGAGGACGTTCTGCAAGCACGAAGGGTAGCCCCTACATGCAGCCATGTTATGCATGGCTTTTCCATGCTTTTCCACAGCCCATCATGCTGACTTCTATCCATCGGTCCCAGACCCTAGGGCCCTAAACCAAAGTTTTCAGGACCTGCAAAGCCTGCTTCGTGGAGAAAGAGCCATTGCACTTAAAAAACCAGACTTTGAGAGTTCCCTGCTTCCAGGTCTCACGTCCTACACGACCGAGCTGTCTCTGGCATCCACCAACTACACGGCGCGCTCCAAGAGTCCTCACTCGGGCTTGGCCTTCGAAGGATTTTGGGGTTAAGGCTTAGGTTTCAGGCATGTTGGAATTGGAGTCATAGGCTGGGGTCAGGTTTTAGGGTTTAGGGTTTTAGGCTTGAGGGTTTTAGGGAAGCAGAGATATCTTGGAAATCAGAAGGCGCTGGGCCCTTTGCGGCTTGTGGTGTCTGCCGAGGAGTTTTGTTCGATCCTTGGCCTTCTCGGGGACCTGGCGGGTCCTCGAAGCAAAGTTTAGACGTTTGCACAAGTCTGACTCTGGAAGCCAAGAGACTGTATGTTACAGATGATGGGCTGTACTTTAGATATCATTTGAGATTAATTTGGATGCACCGAGCGTTGCAGGTGAGCCCGTTGAACCGCACCGCAGAGGGTGGCAACGAGACGCAGCAGTGCTCTGCACCTTTCCCGCAAGTGTCTAGCAGCTTCCGGGCTGAACGTAGAAGCTACCGGTGCACTGCCCAGAGAGTAGAAATACCGCAGTATCAAAAGAGCAAATTGTCCCGGCTGCATTTCGTCGGCAATTTGGACCACTAGAGAAGAACTACCTGATAGCCCTCGCCAGAAGGACGACGAGAGCAGTCTCGACGCGAAAATTTGTTTCGAGCGCATTTCCTAAGCTTAATCCCGGAACCCTCAATCGTACAGGTGCCCCTCCGGCCCTGGCTGTGAAAGCCTGGAGTCTCAGTGTTTAAACATTGAGGCCTTGAAAATTCATGGTAGGGCTCTGGTACATGTTATCGGACCGTTCTATGTGGGACCATATTGCCAACTTTGAGAACCCCATGTTACATGTTCGTCTCCAATCCTACAGTGGCAAGATGATATATGGCAGCATGACAAGACCCGGATCAGGCATTGGGTCCCGAGCACGGGGGGACATTCACGGCTGGAAGCCTGGAATCATCAGAGAAGTTGCTCGGGAGTTCGGATATGTTGCGATTGAATTTCACGGTTTGAATCTTGTTGTAGTCTATGTTCAAGAATGCCATGACTACCTGTACTCAGGTCTTTCATACAGTCTTACAACTCATGACAACGATTCGATCGAGTGCTGGTCATCCACCCCTTGCGGCAACACCGGCCGCCAGCAAAAGCCTCGTCAAACATGTCCTGCACATGTGCCAAGGTCTCTTGCAGTCTGGAGCTCAGCTAGGGTTTCGGGAGCTGTCTTGAGCAGCTAGCTCGTCATCAATCCATTATTGAACAGCACTCGCTTGAATGGACATGATTCCTGCTCTGGGGACAACGAGACACCGTCTGCTGTTCTGCCTTGATCTGTGAGACTCTCGATGATAAACTGCTTCAAAAGCTTGCTGGAGCTGCAGATGTGGGCACTACCACTCAAACCCTGAAGATCCCTGAAGCTTGAGTACCGAAGCTCTAAGCATCAGATCCAGTATCACCAGGCTCTCGAAGCCTAGAGACCGGAGCATGAAACTTGCAGTGTTCTGTCTCCGTCACAAAAAGGTTCTGGCGTCGTGCCGGCATCCCAGCATTCCGTGGTACTGTCACTGCAGACGAACCGATGTGACCACTGCACAAGACTTCAGGGCTTTGGGGCCCTGGCTTGCAGAATTGAGGTTGTGTTGCGTGTTTGCCTTACCTGTCTGTACTGCAACGATCTGACTCGAAGTTCACGGCCACAGGCTTTCAAACAGCAGGCTGTCAGAGGATTCCAGAAAACGCAAAGGGCTGCCAGAGGTCTCTGGAAGCCCACAAGGCGAGCTTGAAACTATGCCAACACGTCGAGCACCACCCAGAAGCTCAGCACGGCAGTCCTTGTGTTTCTCGTGAGTTTAAAGTCAGGAAACATTGGACGGTCCATGTCGGCTAAGGAGTGCCACTAGCAACTGCATGGTGGGATGCAGCTCCACTGTTCTTGATCAGGCAGATCAACAGTCTTTGCAAACAGTTCGTGGCAGCTTGCCTATTGCTGTTGTCAGTATGGAGTGCGATGTACATGTACAGGAACTCTGCCAGGTACTGGCACTAGTCCTGCTACTCGTGCGATGACGACTGTGACGAAGACGACAACGACTACTACTACTGCTGCGAAGAATCACTGCTGCTGCTGCTGCTGCTGCTGCTGCTGCTGCTGCTGCTGCTGCTGCTGCTGCTGCTGCGCCGCTCCTGCTCCTGCTTGTTCTCCTGCTGCTCCCTCCTACTCCTAGACTATCTCTACAACCACTACTGCTACTACTACTATTATTATTACTACTACTACTATTATTATTACTACGCTACTACCACTACTCAAGCTGCTACTACTGCTACTACAACTACAACAACAACAACTACTACTACTACTACTACTACTACTACTACTACTACGACTAGTACTACTGCGACTGCGACCTCGCCTGCAATTACGACTGCTCCTACTGCCACTCCTACTTCTACTGCTACTGGTTACTGCTTACTGCTTACTGCTACTGCTGCTGCTACTGCTGCTGCGACTACTCCTACTCCTACTACTCCTACTCCGACTCCGACTACGACTACTACTAGTTCCAATAGTTCCGATAGTAGCAGTAGTAGTAGTAGTAGTAGTAGTAGTAGTAGTAGTAGTAGTAGTAGTAGTAGTAGTAGTAGTAGTAGTAGTAGTAGTAGTAGTAGTACTAGTACTAGTACTAGTACTAGTACTAGTACTAGTAGTAGTAGTAGTAGTAGTAGTAGTAGTAGTAGTAGTAGTAGTAGTAGTAGTAGTAGTAGTAGTACGACTACTACTACTACCACTACCACGACTACTGCTACGACTGCTACGACAACTACTACTACTGTTACTACTACTACTACTACTACTACTACTACCACTACTACTACCACCACTACCACTGCTACTGCTGCGACTACTACTACTGCGACTGCGACTGCTACTTCTGCTGCCACTACTACTGCTGCGACTGCGACTGCCACTGTTACTTCTGCTGCTACTGCTCCTGTGGCTGCTCCTGCTGCCGCTACTGCTACCACCACCACTGCCGCCACTACAGCTACTGCGACGACGACGATGGCGGCTACTACACTGCTGCCACTACTTCATTGTTAGACATGTGTAGATACATTTTCACATTGCCAACTTGGAGGTCGTGGACATCGTGGACAGGACTGGCGGAAAGTATCCCAACCTGACTTCTGGAGCCCGGCGCCCACAGTGGAATGTCGCTAGCACAGTCTGTACACATGTGGCAGCAGCACACAACGTAGGAGCCTCAACTTACATACATACATACATACATCGATGTGTGTATATATAGATATATATATATATATATATATATATATATATATATGCATGCATGTATGTGTGTGTCTGCATGCATGTGTGTATATATGTATATACAAGCGCTCTGATGCTTTCTAATTAGGTGTTGCATGAGGGTTGTCCAGAAGGACGTGCATCCGTGAGATGCCGGTTCAATCTGGCTGCTCAGCATCGCAAGACCTCTTCTGGCGGTGTCTGAAAGAAAGTATGTGTATGTGTGTGTGTATACATACATGAATATACATACATTTGTTGGTATATGTGGGGTACGCCTAAGCCAGACCGGGACTGCTACATGCATTTTGCATGAATTGAAGGCGGATGAACCAGCAAGCCACGGCACGCCCTCAACTTCGGGCGAAATTCACAAGACAAGTATGGCGAAGCGATGCGTCCCCGGCGTGATCGCTGCTCATAGACCCCAAAGCCCTTAGCTCGCGGCTGTGCTGAGGTCTATCTCAAGTCTGGGGAGAATACCACCATGGACCGTCCGTTGAAGCCACCAGTTGCGATAGAGTGGTGAAGCTTTGCATCCGAAGCACTGCTTGCAGCGCTAGTGATACACAATGATTCCCAGACAAATCAAGCCAGTGGCAGGACTGTCCATCATCCATGTACTCCGGCAGCATGACCTTCAGCTGTGGGGCCCTTAGAGTCCAGTCTCCTGGCCGATTCTCAATTCTTGCAAGCAGCAAGCTGGTCGCTGTCCGTGCTCTCTGGTGTTCAGGCAGCAGCGGCGTGCCGACGCTGACTCACAACTGCGTGCCGGAATCCAAGAGCTGTGCATCCGAATGCGAGTGTGCAGAGTGACACCCACAATGGCAGCAACAATGTGCATGGAGAAGCTTCTTGCTATGATGTGCAAAAAGTTCCAAACAGGCAGCGGAGATTTTCTCGCACTGCTTCGTTTCTGGGCATTACAAGTGACTGTCCCTTGCTTTTCCCACCTGCGGCCGAGGGCCCTCCCTTGCCCTGCGAATGACACCATCCTCCTGGAGCTCGACGGATCGTCCTTGAATTACAGCCTTCAGGCAAGGCCCTACGCTGTCCAGTGGTACTGTAGTGCAATCATGCTCAGAAGCAAGCCTGGAACCGTCAGAGTGAGATTCCTACTGAGCCCTGCTTTTGTCCAGCCTGTTTGGGCCCGTCTCCTTAGTCTTCCACAGAAAGGTTACCCGGAGAATTCAGGGAGTGGGGACCCGTGCTTGCAGGTTTCTCTTCGCCGTAGCATTCGGGTTCCGAGCTAGCACAAAGGATTGATGTGGGGAGTGTACATATATATATATATATATATATGTATATATATGTATATATGTATATATGTATTTGTTTATTTTTTGTTTACATTTATATTTACGATTATGTTTAGGTTTGTAGATAGGTATGTATGTATGTATGTAGGTGCGTTTGCATGCCTGCCTGCCTGCCTGCCTGCTTGCTTGCACATATAATCGGACGATAAACAAGTGTGCATAAGCAAGTTTGTTTACTTGATGTTTCTTTGTTCAGCTAGATTAGATCCCTAGGTATAATGCTTGTAGGCGGCGGAGATTCGCACTCGAGCAAGGCCGAAAATGTCCATGATGAGAACACAACCGTGGAGTGCAGCTCGGTGAACCCGGATTGGCAGCAGAATCTGCAGGTGCCAGGGGGTTCCGTGGTTTTGGATAACCGAAGCCTGCGGTTGTGATTCCTCTATTGGTTGTCACTGTTTGCTGGAGCTAGGCTGAGTCTTGGAGTGCTTCAACATCACGGTCTGACCTTTGACGGACAGTCAGACTTCCGGGGACCTGCTCTGGGACACGCGAGAGCCTCCCAGCCAAGAGCCAAGACGAACCAGGAGGCCCCAACAGCCCAAGGAAGCACCGATTCCCAAACCACTTGTAGCTGCGGCATCAGTCACAACGCATGAGGCCGGACCCCAGTATCCGAAGCCAGATAACCCTGGTCAGGTGATGTGCAGATACGGCCGGCTCGAGTCCGATGCCTCAACTTGCCGTGGCCTTCGAACATGTTTGTGCAGATCGGACTCATGTAAAGAGCTTGCGAGCGGCTTGAAAGCAGTGCATGCTAAGCGATAGAAGCCCGCAAAAGCCCACTGCCAAGGTGCTGGCGTTCCTTGCAGTACAAGCACATCGGCGGGAGCCAGGGACACAGAGACTGCAATCACGATAGCCTTAAAGCTCAGAGCTTTCCATGATGAAGTCTTGCGTTGTTGCCGCCTGTCTCTCACTGCGGCAACTCTATTCAGACTTTGCCCAAACTTTGCCCTTACGCCGTCTGATGCTGGCAGGTTTCTGTTGGGTGGCTGAATGCAACGCTGAATCCGGACACTGAGGCCAGGCAATTAGTGGAGACGGCTGTTCGTAGAATCGACTTGTTCTTTCATCGGCATGTACACGCAGAGGCGTCTCGTGCAAGCACTGACACCTACAGAGCGGAGACCAAGGGAGACGACGATAGCTAGCTAGCTAGCTGGCTAACTACCTAGCCAGACAGCTGGCCAACTAGGTAGAAAGGTACGTAGACAGGTGCATCGGTATACAGGTAGATAGATGGATGAATTGGCAGATGGGTTTGGTAGATGGCTGGTAGGTAGATGGATAGATGCCTAGATGGATAAACAGATTCATGGATACATGTGCTGGCTGGTCGGCAAGATGAGTAGGCAGGCAGGCAGGCAGGCAGGCAGGCTGTGGGCATGCAGGACGCAGGACGTACGCCGGTGAGTAGGCAGATAGGTCCTAGATAGGTAGATGTAGCTAGCCAGATAGGTGCAAGCTCTGCTATGCATGTACAGCACGGGAATGGCACCGTAAGCACCATTCATTTGTCGTCAACTTTGCCAGTTGCTTTTAATACCTTTGTCATCTGTCTTCTTTTGTCTGGTGCTGGTGTGCAGGTAGCTCACGCCAGTACCTGGACGGCCGCACACTCGGCCTTGGGCTGTCAAAGACGAGGGATATGGTCACGGAGAGACGCAGGAGTTTCAAATGGTTAATTGGCGGCCTTGTCCTCAGGTTCTGTGCTACAGCATCAACACCGAGTTCTCCGGAGATATCAATCTGCGCATTCCTTGGTGCTGGTCACGTTGCACACATGCTTTGAAAGCTCGTTAGACTTGCGGGACTTCCTGAAGAGTGAGCGAGCTAAGGCCGACGGAAGCTGCAGCACTCGATACTAGACTAGGCTAGACTATACTACGCCATTCTGTGCGAGCCTATGCTATACTATGCCGTACGGTACTATACCGCACCATACAATACCTGAGTCTTGCTCGTGGCCAAAACTACGAAGATGCTCAGGCGCTGCAAGGGCGGTACGGTTCGCTGCGGCCCCAGACATGATATGGACGTCATGTGGACCTTTCGGAGTTTTAAAAGGAAGGTGGCTCTCCTGCAGGCATCACGCCTGTGTGGGGCCCTTTTTTAGGCTTGATTTCGAGGATTCAAAATTTGGGGCCTGCACCGGTGGTGTATCCAGCTGACCAAAGCTCCAGCTCCGTGCCAGTCGCCGATGCCAGCTGCCAGCAAGAGGAGGCTCTGACTGTCCGGGGGTTGCATTGCAGAACATTGCAGTAAGCCCATAATGTGGAAACTGGAAAGGATGACTAGTGAGTAGTCCTGCTATTCCCCACAATATAGTTCGCTGTCACGGCCTGGGGACAACGATTTTCGGCAGTTAAACTAAACCGATATATGCTGACAAGCATCGAACATGCTGTCGTTTCTCGCAGGGACTGCAGATTCAGGCAAGATGAGGCTTTCATACATGAGCAGGAAGTTGTCGTGCACCTTCACCAAGACGCAAAAAGCGCTACGGTTTCATGCGTGCTGGTTAGCCGTATGTTGCAGGTCTGCCGTCTCGCATATTAACTAGTAGACTTGGACGGTCCCGTAAAGATGAACCTCCAAGCCCAAAATCCTGGCCACCCCAGCCCGACAATGAAACAATATGGATGTTAGATGTAGCCCGAACTCCACAACCCTCATCCAACTCTTATGGCCCCAATATAGGGGCCTTGATACTCAGAATAGGGTTTGGGGGTAGATTATACTAGAATGGTAGTAAGGAACCCGCAAAACCTTATTCGAACTACTAAGGCCCCCCATAGTACAAACTCTCAGCCTGGCTATCGGATCCCTGCCTGGAGGTCGGCTGTCGCCCGAGCGGCCGGGGGCCCACGCCTTCTTCAACCATCTTTGCTGAAGTCAATCCGGAGTTAATCCGCCATTGAGGGATGCTCTTAGAGCTTTCTTCAGGTACCCTCGGATTGAATTACGGCAAGAAGGAGAGCGCATAAAGTATTGCTAAGGTTTTTCGTGACGCCTGCTGGATATGCATCTGTTTGTCCGTCCGTCCGTTTGCCTGTCTGCCCGTCTGTCTGTCTATTTGTCTGTCTGTATTGTTTGTTTGGTTTGGTTCTCTGTGTGTGTATACCTTTCTTAAGCTCAAAGGCTCCATACCATCTTTCGGCGACCGAGGACAGTACGCAAGCGAGACAGCTGCGGTTGGCAACTACAGCGTGGTGCGCTGCTTAAGGTCTGGGTGGTTCTTTCTCGAATATACGATCTTCAGTAGCTGAGTGCAATGGTGGGACATGCTGAAGCTTTATGCTACCCTACACCCCGAAGCCAAAACCCACAAAGCAGGAAGTTGCTTTCTCGTGAGCTTGTTGTCGTTCTTGTTGCCAGGATGAGCAAGAAAATCTCTGTCTTGGTCATTTGCCTCGTGCTTGTGCGCGTGTGGAAGAGAGCTATATATACAAGGTTGAAGCAAGTTTAGGTTCTCAGCAACTAAAGCTGCAAAAGTAATTAGCAGCGCAAGTTCCAAATCCGCATGACGACCAACTGAAAGCACGACCAAGATGCATGAGCAGAGTACGTACCATAATGATTAACCTGAGCTGGATAGTAACGAAACTCGTGACAAAGCGGTTGTACCGGCGATACGAAATTCGGTCGCCTGTTGTTCCTGCTTCATTGTGACAAAGGTGCTGGGTCCATCCACCACCGTGGCCTCTGGTGGCACATGGGAAGTGGCCGCGACACCAAGATGTTTTGGGAAGTGGTAGTCAAGTTCGCGGGCGAGGGGCATTGAAAGGCGCTGAGTTGTGATTTTAGCCCCGTTGGCATGTCGTCGGGTTGCTTGAAGTCCGGATACTGCAGCTTTGACTAGACTAGCAAGGCGAAGATGCAAGACTTCCCAGGGAGCTTCTGTTGGCATCTGCAACATGTCGTGGGTCGTGGGCCTTTGCAGAGCTAAGTGGGTAGGGCTCGACAGAATCGTGTTGATGCCGATTCAACGAAAGCGCCCAGGATTGCGAGAGCAACACAGAGGGCAATTACGCTGAGCGCTCGGTATTTAGGAGGTATTGTCGAGGTGAAGACTTTCCTCATAACTTCCGCAGTTTTTGCAGCTCCCTTGTGTTGAATGGATCTGCGACTCGAGTTGCATGCACGTTAACCTGGATTCCCAGTTGGGCAAAATCACGGTGACGTGCGGTGCTCTGGGCAGCTACACCAGTCACGGCCCTGGCGAGGCTGCTGCAGATACTGCTACCTTGCACTCCTACTTGTGTCACCTACCCATAACCTTACTCTGGCTGCCACTGCGGCTGCCTTTGCTACCACTGCTACAAGTAGTGAGCGGCGAGGTTGTCACGGTTGGGACTGCAGGCTCTAGCTGCGCCCTCCGGGTGAGCAAGGGCTAGGACCTAACATGATGCACTGATCTTTCGGTCTCGGCATGCACTGCTGATAAGCAAGAGGACGGTTTTTCCGCTGCAAGTCTGATAGTGAAGGTTGTCCTTGTCAGCTGCAGCATAAGGTGTGGACAACCAGTGCGTGGAGAGGCATTGCCCCGCAGGCCAAGACATCGACTTGTGACAGTGTGAGATATGGGTGGTTGTCAAAATTAGGGTCCTTTTTTGGGTCCTTATTATAGTACGGCACCTATTATTTAGGGTACCCAAAAAGGGACCCTAATTTTGACAACCACCCATATGTGTCGCTCAGAGCGGGGCAGTACCGCTTGAGCCTTCGAGGAACCTCCTTGACAGTGTCCAAAGCTGGCTACACGGGAACCGTGGTCACGCCTGTTTCTCAGTCAGAGTCGCCGGGCCGATGCCAATATACGTATTAATATAATATGAATATATATATATATATATATATATATACATATATATATATATATGTGTATATATATATATATATGAACTTTATGGATATTTCATATTATGAATATTGTTGATATAGTATGATCTACAACAGCGGCAGCTTTGAAGATTTTGGCGGTGCGAGCCAAGGTCGGCCGACATCGCCCATGCTGCCGTGGGGACAGCATCCTGCACCGATGTGGATGAGGACCGTACACCGAGAAGCTTCAAAGCAAAGCTGGTCGTTGTAGGAGTAGTAGTCGTCGTCGTGGCAGCTTCAGCAGCAGCAGTAGTCGCCGTCGTCATAGTCGCAGTAGCAGTGGCAATGGCGGTGGTGGAGGTAGTATATGTACTCTTATCGATGATTGAATTATGTGGAAGTGTTTCTATTATTTGTACTATGTGTATTTGTACGTGTATTTGTAGTTGTGCTTGTTGTCGCTGTTGTTGCTGGTGGTGCTGGTGTTGCGGTTGCTGCTGTTGCTCCTGTTAGTATTGTTGTTGTGGCTGTGGCTGTGGCTGTTGCTGTTGCTGTTGCTGTTGTTGCTGTTGCTGTTGGTGTTGTTGTTGTTGTTGTTGTTGTCGTCGTCGTCGTCGTCGTCGTCGTCGTCGTCGTTGTTGCCGTTTGGGTGGTGTGGGTAGTAGTTGCGGTCGTCGTCGTTGTCGTCGTCGTAGGAGTAGGGTATGAGTAGAAGTGGCAGCAGCAGCAGCAGCAGGGGCAATGGCAGGAGCAGTACCAGTAGTAGCAGTAGCAGCAGTACATGTTCAATCAGGGCAACGATGAAGTTGTAGGATCCTTAGGTTTTGGCAGCATCTCACGAGGCGTTGCATGGCAATCTCAACGACCCCAACTTCAGCGAATTTCGCCGAAGCAGTCCCATGACCCCGCATCCCCCAGTTGTCGTGTTAGCCTAGCGACATCGCCTGTGCCAGGGCCTGCAAGGCTGGGCCCTCAGTCAGTCTCTTTTGGATGAGATTATGAAACCTAGGGCTTCAATAATACCAAGCTTTTCAACTTTGTTGGGCTTTGCTGATGTAATGTCAGTATAAGTCTGATCGGCGTTCGTGTAGGGTTGCCAGGAACGCAGTTTCGATGTTTTGAATAGGGGCGTTTAGGCTTATGGACGAAACCACGTGCTGGAGAAAGTTCAAATCTGTTGGCCAGAGGATGACACAGACGGCCATGACGGCGGGCACCGGCTTGAATCGTGGTGTTGTACTGGCTCTAGTGTCGGCGTATGTCGTTGTCCGGATGACTTGTATTTCAAGAGCCGTTCCGTACATAGTTGCCCTAGACATGCCTCTCTGGCAACGCCGCTGTGGCTGTTGTAGAAATCTTCGTGGGTCCAAGCGGGCTGATGGCCTTAATGTTGAAGGGCGCTCCTTGTAGGGAGTCACCCCAAGCCAAACCAGTCGAAGCGAGCCCCTAGTAGGCCTTCGGGGAGCTCAGGCAATCTTGCTTTGACCTGCGACTGGGGCGTGGTGTCCGTGGACACGCTTGCTCCTCAGGCTTCCGTGTTATGACAAAAAGAATGCAGATGGGTTCACGGTTGACTTCAGCGCTCGGTATCTACCAGGACAGAGACAGTCGCAAATGTTTGCAGCTCTCTCCGTAGCGACAGAAGGGCACCATCAGCAGTTCTCATGTCATAGTCATGGTCACCATCAGCATGGAAAAGATGCTGGTCTTAGTCATCAGAGTAGACCAGAAAGCAAGACGTGCGCAGAACCGCCATCGACCCTTTCATTGCTGCGGAAACATAACCACCTCAGCGCAATGCTGGCGATGCTTCGTATCGGCTCCATTGTCCATGCCTTGGATGGCTCAAAAAAAAACGTACCAGCGGGTTTAGCACACACTTCTGGCAGGCCAACACTGCACTGCTGCAACAACTTGCTCATCCCAAATCCGCGCTAACCCGAAGCATCGTGACATAGTGACGGTCACAGCGACAACGAGTAACGAGGACGGTATCAACGCCCACATCAGGTTTTTGATAAGGGCAGAAAGAAATGATAACGGCGAGGAGGAGGAATTGGATGAGAATGAGGCGAGGAGGAGGAATTGGATGAGAATGAGGATGATGAGGACTATGCCTCTAGACTATTGTTGTCCTGCAGCCTTCCTACAGCTCAAGGGACCGTGTGCCAGCCAAGGTCGGCATGTGACGTCGTATGCTTGCCGTCACGCCCTGGGCAGGTCTGGTGTGGGGAGCAAGACATGCATGCAGGGTTGTGGGAGTCTTCTGCCTGCGTGTGGTTGTCGTAAGATGCCAGATTTGTGTAACTGCGGCTCCTGTTAGGTATTTCATGAGGCATGGCATGTCTGACCAGAAATCTTTAAACATCATTATGAAAAGACTTCTATCCGATTTTTCAAGTGTGGCATTGTCGCCACAACTGCCAATTGTGCTTCTCGTCTCGGCTTATGACCTTGTTTTGCATTGTGCTTGGACAAGGCTAGGCCGTCAGGTGCCTACGAGAACTTGTGCCTCATGGTTCATCGGCATGCGTTCACACAGTGAGATTCTTCTTCGTCAGGCCTTCATTGCGGGCACCCCTTTCGATGTTGCACCACCACAGGTGGCTCGGACGCTTATTTAGCATCATGACGTTGACCAAAGCATGTGCACTCCCAGTCCCTCCCACCTGAGCGGCGACAGATGCTTGCATGTATTTTGGAGAACCACGGCATCCATCATCACTATGAAAAACTCAAGCGGCTCGAGAAGGATATTCTGGACGGACGCAACTTCTCCATCCCGTGCGTGGACCTGATGGCAGGGTACAATGGCAATGCCAGGTGCTCAGAAATGTGGCTTCGTCTCGCAACGGCCAGTGGTTAGTGCCTGTTGATTTCAAGGTTGTAAACAATTAAAAACACGAAGACTACAAAATACAGTTAACAAATGCGAAAAAATATGATAATATGCTAATAATATTAGTAGTTTTTTTGAATAATAGTTCAAAAACTATCAATAACATGGCATCCTGTCCATGGTCAAGGTCGTTGGAACATGCAGCGGAGGCTCCGTGAATGCGGACTCCAGCAACTGCGTGCTCCGAACTCGGCTTGGAGTGCGCGAAACAAAACTGGGCATGTTTCAACTGAATGGCTCGGCCTGTTCAGCGCTGGTCTGTGTTTCTACAACAGTACGAAATCGAAATGGACGAGGCTCCCGCTGTGCTCCGCTTTGTCGCTTCACACCATACAACAAACCATGCCACTGGGTGCCGCCTTGACAAGTTGTAGCACGTTCGTTGGTGAAGAACGGACCGGTCAATTTGATGTTAGAGACACATGCGCTGAGCATGAGCCAGCTCGATATAACATATAAACATTAAGTATATATATATATACACATATACACACACACACACACATTATAAACCCGAAACCTAAACCCTCGACACTCAGTCACGACTCAGGGGCATGCCGTGCGAAGCGGGAGAGGGCTTCAGCATCACGCTGTACGACAAGACGGATTTGGTGAACTTGACAGCAGCCCTGTCCCCAGGTGCTGCCGCGTTTATCCTGTTAGCTGTTGAGTTGACTATAGTTACAGTATCACACCAAACACAGTCTCAGATCCTGGCATTGCATCGTGACATGGCATGTCATATGATTCTAGACTCTAGACTGGAGGAATTCAGTCCTGCTGCGCTGACTCGAATAGCCGGTTGGTGGTGAACACATGAAGGCCAAGTGTTTGAGGTGCAGGAGCCATGACTGCCATGAGTACCTTGTCACCAGTTTGATGTGGTTTGAGTGCTTATCTGGTTTTCGCCTCGGTTGCTTGAGGTTTTGCCCAGAAGAAATTCAGATTAAGGGCGTGGGAGTTCAGAAGTTAGCAGAGTACAGCGTCTAGAGTTTCGAGGTTGCAGTCAGCTGGAGTTTAGTGCTGTTTATTTCATTGTGAGTCCTCATGATGAAATGGCGCTTGCCGCCTGAGCCAGGAAGCACGAGCAATGGCTCTACACCTTGAATCCCAACCGAGCCTGAAACGCAGAAACGCAACCTCAAATCCCAACTCCAACTGCTCTTCCCGTGAGCCAAAACTTGCCACAGGGCCCCCACCACCAATACCGTACCAGTTGACGCATGTAGGTGCTCCAGGCTATAAAGCTCTGTGGCTGGGAAGCTGCGGGCTTGCCGTCAAAACAAGATAACTTGGCTGCTGAAGAGACAGCAGATGAGCACGCCGCAGAAGAAGGTGCTCACCTATCTCGCAAAAAGTTGGCCGCTAGACGAGCACCTTCGCTAAGACAGATGGCCAGCAAAACGAGGCATCCGTTTGAACTCTGGCACTCTGAGTTGCAGATATTACCGGACCCTGATATTCCTTGAGTTTTTGAACTTTTCGTTTAGGAACCTCCAGGAAGTCCCATCGGTTTTGTCGCATCCGAGGACTTGGCCAGCGGCGCCACCGCCACCTTTCCGTGCTCCTCAGTGAACTCCGACTACGTCGGGTGCCAACTCTTTGCGGATCACGGGCTCACAAATCCCCTGCTGCTATGCGCAAGAGTACGTATGGAAGTAGAAAGAAACCAAGGAAAAATTACTTTCTTGAGGGGGCTCCCCCAAACCCTACACCCAAACTCAGGCAGGTGACATCTCCTTCCGCTGCCTGGCAGATGCCGTCTCCTCAAAGTGCACGGAGTTGTTCGGGCCCGTTGGGCAAATCCTGACCGGGGCCAATCATGTGGCAGCGGCTGCCCTTGGTATCGGCTAGGACTGGGACTCACTGCCATGCCTGTCGACATGGGCACCAGTTGAACGAACTATCCGCAACAAGAGCTCGTGCACTTCTCCAGGTGCTGCGAAAGGACGTCAGCGGTTGCGTGTGCCAGGTGCGTGGGCAAGCCGCTGTTGAAGTTAGTCTGTGGCCAAGGTTTGCAAGCCTACGGTGGGTCATGCATGGGCTCGATCTGGCAGAGGTCCGAGGCTCTGTAGCACTCCACCACGCAGGACCAGGCGTGCAGCACTGCGCCATGCATGGCCACAGACACTTTCTTCGTCCAGCTGCCCCGCCCTCAATCGAGCAGAGCTCGAGCTCTCTAACAGTACCAGCTTGGCTGTTCTGGCTCAGGACGGACACGGAGGCCTCTGTGGCCATCGGGGAACAGGCCAGGGCTCTTCACTCAAGACAAATTTCGGTGAATACTTGAGGTTGTAAGTGTTGCTCAGCCCCCAAATCTTGAGCCTACCCAGACCCGCAAAGACGCTTCATGACGGCCCAGGTAAGTTGCCCCTCTTAGCAGAACCGCGGGGGGTCATGCCAGGAAAAAGAAATGCCAAGTTTGTGGAGTCTGCAGGTGAGCTCGCTGCAGACCGTATCCCGGACCTGCGAGTCAGCAGGGAGCACAGGATTCTTGTGTTTTTAGCCCTGATTTGCGCCTGAACGCCCAGATATCCGAAAAAAACGAAACCTGGCTTCTTGAACCAAGGCCGCCCCCGGCCACGATGGCAGTTTCTCCGTCCTTTGCAGCGGAGGCAGGTAGAAAGCTCCAACTCCAGCAGCTAATTATGCATAGAATCGATTTGAAGAAGACTTCGCCGCATCTTTTACGGATGCACAGCGATGGCCTGGACCTCTCAGTGCAGGTGTCTTGCACCCGGATCTGACAACGTGCACGGAGCCGCACGGCAGCAACGAGTGACGGGAACCGAAGACTCCTTGGTGGCCTGTTCCAGCTCGGGACGTGCCCAGTCTGTTCTTGTCGAACTTAGGCGTGGCTGCGACGCATCTACAGCTGCAGCTCAGGCATCGACGGAGCGCGCGATGCTTTGGATGTCGAGGGTTTCGGACAGACTTCGTTTACGAGTCTGAGATCCAAAGAGTCCTGCAAGTGATTCCACAAACATGATCCTCCCCTCGGCCCTGTGCAGCCTGTTGCCGGACCCATGACCTAGCATCTTGCCACGAAGCTCATGGCTTCTGCGAAAGCGTCAGAAGGCAAGCTCGACCCGACAGTGGAAAACAAGTGAAGAAGCATTTTGATACGTTCATGCTGGGCCCTTATAGGTGGGACGTCTCCTTGTATTCCATCCCAGACCCATCGTGCTGTTTGCCAGTTCAGCGTGGGTGGCACTGCGGCGCAAGCCACCACATCGCAGGCACCTGCCTCCTGTGAACTCAGTTCAATGTCTCGATCACAGCAAGATGTAGGGCCAGTGGAGCACTGAAGTTCTCAGATTCTCTGCATCGAAGAAGCGATGCCGAGGAAACAAACGGCACTCAGCAGTCACCATGGTGTGCAGATATTTGCAGCAGTTCTCCATTTCTTAAGTAATTTGTGTAGGTCCCTGTTGCCAAACCCTACACCGCAACAGGCCGTGTCTCACGGCGCCAGCTTCGTTTGGGGCAGCTGCGCCTCCGTAAACCCCAGCTTTATTGGAGCTTGGGCCTCGGTTGCAGGCTTTCCCTGAGGCGCTAAGATCGCAGTACCCTTCAAACAGGCAGCTGCAGGGTTTACGGCACTGCATTCCTTCATGCCGGCTTCACCGTGCCCAAACTTGCGTAAGGGCACACGGGCCGGAGAATCATGTGGGTGGTGGTCCCTTTTGGGTCCCTATTATAATGCGGCACCTATTGGTTAGGGTACCCACAAAGGAACCTTATTGTTGACGACTACCCATATGTCACCATGAGCCACAACGGCATCAGCAACTCCAGACTCTTCTTCGTTCGCCCAGGGCTTTCTTCCAAGACCCAATATGTCCAAAATTGAGCATTGAAGCTTTAATCCGAGATCCCGGACGCCAAACGCCCCTGGCCCCAAGGTCTACACCGTCGAAGACTTAAATAGGCCTGAACACCCTAAAGAATCTCAAAGTGCAGCCAGCCCTTCAAGCACCGAACCTTAAACCCTAAACCCCAAAACCAAGTCTCCAACCAACCCCTCAGCCAGCATGGCATTCCAACTAACCGAAAGGGCAGACGGAAAAGAGGGCTCAAAAAAAAAGAAAACCCCGAACCCCAAAACCCAAACCCTAAACCCTTGAATCGGCTCTGAGTCTGTGAACGCCACCTGCCACCTCGGAGAGCTTCTCGTGGATCGAAGTGGCTGTGCGCCGGGAGCTTAGCTATTGGCAGAATTTAGGAATTCTGCTCATACCGGATTATAGGTTTTTAAAACAACCTATAATTTAGGAATCTGCTCATACCGGGGAGAGGGGGTTTAGGATGGGTTTAGGGGTTTACGGTTTAGGGTTTTGAGGGGTTTAGGGTCTAGATAGGCGTTTAGGGGATTTATAGTGTGGTATGTGGGTTACCGCCGGGATTCCGGAACATAATGTGTATGTAGTGTAATATCATCGACTTTGTTAGTTGCTTTCTTTGTTTATCTAAACTTGTGGGTGATACCCCCAAGGTTTAGGATTCCAGAGCTCTAGTGGTGGGTCTGTGGGTTTAACATCAGCTTCAAGATGCTAGGATCCATGGTTTCAGATGATATAGGGCTCTGTTCATGGCTTAGAACTCAGGATTCTGGAGATGACACCGTGCTTGCCTTCCGCAATCAAACGAGAAGCTTCATTGTGAGTACACACTGCGCACGTTGTACCGGTCATGTCGTTCTTTCAGCAGTAGCGATTGTGTCCTTGACTATCAGTAGCAGCATCGCTCAACATTACCCTGGTACCATTGAACCCCGTAGCCGCTCTGTCAAGCAAAGGGGGGTGTTCACGAGTTTGCAAGCTGCGACCCCAGAGATCATTTCACTCGTAAGGACAGGCCCGGGGCTGATATTCCCGGTTGAAAGACTCTCTACATCTGTACCCTAAACCGAAACACCCCTAGCCGCATGTCGTCATAGCGATAGCTGTTGCGACTGCAACAGTCACTACCGAAACCCTGGTATCTGCGACCCCAAATTGCTACTGTAAGGCTACCTTTTAAACCTGTTACTACGAAACGAGTCTAGTAATGTCCCTGTTATCACTGGTACTATTTCTTGCTTTACTATTATTAACTAAGTTCTTAGTGTATCTGAGTGGATACACTTTACACATTTTGGGGAAAGTATTACCCACTATAAAACTGAAAGTGTACACTTTTTGGGGCTTCGGAACTCAGCAAATAAGAGTTACCGTGCTGTAACGCCAGGCCAAAGCCTTGTGCTGCGGGCACCATGGCCAACTTTGCGCTGGGCGGCGGCAACGCAGAGCTTGCTGCTTCCGTCGGGCGCCGAAAAGCAGAATTTTATTGGAATTGTTTAAATCCTTCTTCAGGATTCAGGTGACTGATTGTATGGCTTTACTGGCAGTGCTACGAGTGTAGCCCGTGTTCAACATGTGCTGCGACGGTGTCTGTGGCTGCTTCTGTTACCTGCTACCGCGACTGCCACGAGCGTACAACGACCTTACACGGGTGTGTCCTTGTTCGATCGTTCTGACACTGCCTCAACAACCCGTTGTCCCACCGAAGCTTCAACCGCCGTCCCTAGCACTATCGCCACAAGCATTCGTAGCTATTCGTAGCGTGATGGTGATGATCGTGAGACCCATGACATTACAATGGTAAAAGTAGGACGGCAGCAACTTTGCCTAAAATGGTTTTCCTGTTAAGCAGCGCTATGACCATGATCAGTCATCCTTTCCCTGTTGTTATTACCTGCTCACTTGTGTTCTGATCTCGATCATGCCTATTCAAGACTGCAGACGTTGCACATGAGCAGCGGAAGCGACACTATCAATCAGGGGAGATCTTTGCGATGGTCTTACTAGGTTACTGCAGATTCCGGGAGGGGTAGATGTCCGTCCAGGCCTTCATGGAACACTTGGGCGTGGCAAGCTTCGACTGCGCCGCTGTGAACCCCGACTTCCATGGCACCTTCGAGGCGCGCACTTGCCCTCATGTCGTGGCTGAACCGAGCCAGACTGCAGAACTAAAGCTAAAGTCAAGCATCTGGAGCCGCAGGGCATGTCAGTGATGAGCATACGAAACACTAGTCATACATTGACATGCGTACATGCATACATGCATGCATACATACACATGTACCTATGCATTTTCTGCATGCACGTCCACCTTTTCAAAGCCCCGGCGCACCATATTCAGCAATACGTTTGCGTAGTTGTTACCTCATGGGATCGCTGCAGCTGCATTATGATCATGAAGATGATGGTGGTGGTGGTTTTATGACGATGGCGATGACGATGATGATGGTGATGACGATGACGATGATGATGATGATGATGCAAAGCGCGAGCAGCAAAGGTGAGGCTTGCGGCTGCTTGGACTTTGCAAGCTTTCAGTGATTCAGGTTCTAGACTATGGACATCGAGACAGTGTTTCGAAGCTGAGCGCTCGAAGGCAACCTGCGCTTTTGGCAACATCACCGGAGTCACATCCACCTGCTTCGGCCTTAGAAGTGCTCATGTTGAGCGACATCCAGGAGCGTAGAACAACACACAAACGAAACCCACGTGCTCTTTCATCGGTGCCCGCGAGAGAGCTTCTCAGGTGTCGAGAACCCTTGCGCCAGCAGCTCGTACGTCGAGGCCGGGTCCATTTTCGGCTTGGATTTGGCGTAGTCTCGTGGACCCGAGAGCGCAAGGATGAACGGACCGGTGTCGTATTTTCCGGGCTGATCGCGAGAGTCTGAGAGTGCTTCTTTCCGGTAGGACCCAGCCTTAGAACTTCGAAGCCCCCCTTCGGCCGCCAGGCTGAGCTGGGTGGGACGACCTCCCAGCAGTACTCCCCGGGGGCTGGGGTCCCCGGAGCCATTCGCGAAGAGTGCGGCGTGGAATGCAGAGACTACGTAACTGTTGAGGGTTTAGGGTTTAAGGCACTTAGTATAGTATCATGCCTGACTCAGACACCAGTACCGGAGAGTAGCGGTACCTGAATATTCCCTCGGCCCTAGGTTCTAGACAGGTATCCGTAATATAGTCTAATTGAATTAAAGTACGTGGCATGCAACTCATGCAAGGGATTTAAGGACTGGGCTCTCTGGTAGTGGTGAAGGTTCAGTCTTCGTCTTTTCGTGTCTCTGCATGTATGAAGTGCATGGTCTTCTCCTTCATATTGGGACATCAATGAGAGATCATCCATTGAAGTGAAAGCGTGACATCTCACAGACCGCGCCTCGTAGAATGCCCTCTACATGGCAAGATGGGGATCAGCTTCGCCCCGACATCCTGGATTTGGCAGACTGTCAAAGGAAACATCCCGTCTCAGGTCCTGCACGGCGCGACCTGGACGGCTGGAGACCTACAGCCTGCGGAGAGTTCCGAGAACATGTTCAAAGTCAGAGACCTCTACTGATTTGCGAGTGTTTACATGTTATGGCTGGAAGGAGTGTTTGGCCGTCCGAAACGACAGACAACGCACCTTGTGGCCTGAATTGATGTTGGGTTGAGGTGCCATGCGAGCCCATTAATTGGGACTACATTGGCGACATGCAGATGCAACTCGGCTGCCGATACGACGTTCGTTACGCCCCTCGGCTAAATGCCTGACCTTCCGACTGTCAGGAGCTGCTACCGTGGCCACGTGCGCTTGCTGCTCAGAATGGCTCATGCAGCTGCCTCCCAACCCCACATTGCATAAAAGATCTATTACAATAAATTCGACTTTAGATTACTGATCATATAGTATTCAACCCTTATAGCTTAGCCCGAAGATGGAATGTCCGGATGCTGAAGCTCGGTGAGTGGGGTCGGTGGCACTGCGTGTGCTACCGAGAAGCTGGGGCCTCGCAAGGCGCCGACAACAGCAGCTGTATCCTGGTGGAACTTGGATGCCAGCCATCAGGCGTCCGCGGGTTCACGCGGTGTGAGGACCGTGATGCTTGAACTGAGACTATTACGATTACGATGCTTTTACGTATGCTTCTCTACGGCTCCCGCATGCAGTAGCAGCTCAGTTTCAAGAGCCCTCCTCAGTTGCACCCGTCCTCCGCGGCTTCCGGGAGCCGCGGCACTTGTCACTTGTCAAGGCCCTGGGGGCAACCTCACCGTGGGCAATTACACCGTGGTGTGCATCTCAGATATGTTTGCACATCCTCGGAGCCTTGACGCCGCAAATCAGAGATCCACTGGCTCCCTGCACCCTTTTCATTCCATGAAGCTGTAGCTTTTTGTAGGTGCTGCCGGTCTTGCTGATTTTGGTAGTTGCGGCTCAGTTTCAAGTGTAGGTAGGCCTCAAATCGCTCCCGCCACGAGAGCTGAAACAAGAAGGAGTTACCGAAGAGCATGTGTCCATGCTCAGGATCTGCTCCCCGTTGTGGGCGTGTCCAAGGACGAGACCTTCCAAGTCGCAGCAGGCTGAGGAGTTGGTGAGTTCCTAAACTTACCTTTGGTTAGTAGGGAATGGAAGAGTGGTAGTAATAGTAGTTATATGGTAGTGATATGATAACAAAATGGTAGTAATAGTAGTTATAATTGCACCACATTCCTCCATTCCCTACGAACCAAAGGCCAGAGCAGGTAGAGGCTTCCTTTGAAGTTTGTCAAATCCTCAGGCTCGACTCCCCGATCTCCCCCAGCTTCTTCAAACCTCGAGAAAGAAGGAAGGAGATGAGCCCGAGAGCAACAGTCAGAGCAATAGCGAAAGTAAGACTGTTGCAGTAGTTTCACTAGAGCTTTCTTTTTGAGCTCTTAAGGACTGCGGCTCGCAGACGCAGCGGAAGTATGCAGGGCGCCCGGTTGGTTCTCCCATTGTGCTTTCGTAGAGGGTGGAGTGAGGGCAGAGATGGGCCAATCGCTCTGACTCTGATGGACTTGCGCTTGGAGACTTCAGAAGTTCTGGCATCGGAGCAGAAGACAAGGATGAAACAGAACGGTGCAGGATTAGGTCGTGAGGGCTTTGGCCGTGGATCTAGTGGTAGAAGCCTATGACGTATAAACATGTCATAGGCCTGAACCTGGTTGTGGTGCTGATGATGCTGATGATCGTGATCACATCATCACCACGCGTGCCGCCTGTGCCTACACAAGTACGGCAAGATGCTTCTAGTCCGAGCCATGTGGTTGCGGGGAAGTTGTGATCATCCGAGCAAGATCCCGCATCCAGCCCTGATGCTGATAACACACCCTCTCAGTCCTAGCATGAAAACCATCGGCTCGAACCTGAAGGAGTTCTTTCTCTGCTGAGGTCGGAGAGATCACCGTGACCTGTGGGCGTCGTGGAAGCTATGCCAGCACGGCTCTCAGCGCACATGATTGGTGTCGAAGATTTGGGATTGGTGGAGGCCAAGTGTTTCGGAACATCCGATTCGGGAGTTTAGGGTGATATGGCCGAGGTCACATGACTCAAGGGAACGCTTGAGAGCAGCCAACAAAGACCCTGAGCCAACGATGCGCCAGGCGTGGAGAGCGGCTGTGAGCCACGTTCTTGTGTGGGAGGCCAGTGCATCCAATGACCAGCTGGGTAGTGCTGACCATGTGGGCTTTCAAGGCCAAAGCAAGCACGTGACGTGTCTGTGTTAGCTTGCCTTTAGTTTGTGCCTCGATCTCACTCTCTCTCTCTCTCTCTCTCTCTCTCCCTCTCTCGCGCGCTCTCGCTCCCTCCAGGCGCACAAATATCGATCTATCTATCTATCTATCTATCTATCTATATATATATATATATATACATATCGCACACGCACACTCACACACATACACACATACAATCACATGTGATCGTGTTTGCCTGCCTGCCTGTACTTCGCTCTCTCCTCTGCTTGCGTGCTAGTTTGCGCTCACGTTGGGACTGTGGGCTTGAAGATTCTGGCATGCCTATGCCAAGCAGCATCCCTCGTTGAATCTGCCGCTTTCGAGGTGCAGTACTTCACAGGACCGAAGGTTCTCTGAGATCTAGGAATCTAGGGTTCGTTACAAGTCTTAAGTGACGATCCGAGGCTGGAGTTCGCACACCCTGCAGTGGTCTCTGACGGCAACTTCTTTCATCTGTCAGGTGAAGCGCTGCTCGTGCAGTCCCAGTACGTGAACGGATCCGTTCTGCCTGGCTCTTTGACATCTGCCTTACACTAAACTTTGCGACGGCATTGAGCAATGTTGAGCAGGTGAGCATTTCGCCCCCACGGATCTGCTACATTCATGTCCCACGTTCTCGCCAGCAGATGTCTGCTTGCCTCACTGCATGAACAAGCCAGAGTGTACATTACACGAGGCAGGCGTATAGATTGGTAGCGTTAGTTCTGTGGCGCATGCCTTGCTCTTCCATGTCCGCAAGAGCAGGTCTTCCGACATGGCGCACCTGCAAGCCATCAACGTCACTTGCGAGAACGTCAGTGAGGCAGCGACTTTGGTGGGGAATTGGTTTCGACTGCTACTGCTCTCGACTCCTGCTGATCCCGAGATCTGAGTTTGAAGCGTCGGTGTGCCCAAGCTTGGCAAGCCCACTTCTCATGACCTTGCAAACCAGGTGCTACTGTAGGGCTCAAGCAAACGTCCTGATCATGTCCCCTGGGTGAAGATCTCTTTTGTTGCGCAATCCAAGCAGCCACGATCGTGCAGTGATCATGCAGGTCCTGCGAGGTCCGGCGCCCAACGTCTCAGTACAGCTGATGGGTCCCGGGTGTAGGGTAACGGGATACAGGGCTGTTGGGGTTGGGGAAGCTGCGGCCTTGGCACAGTGACTGAATGCATTTGATCGCAGGCACTGCGCGGCTGTATTGTTGCTTGAATCGAATCATGGTTGTGGCGCGTCGTGATGCGAGTCAGGTTGCATCTGCTGAAACGAAGTACCTAGCATCAAGCCTCAAATTTCAGAGCGTCCACTCGAAACCAAAACCTGAGCCGCAAACAAACCGGCGGCTTCGTGCCCTCTCCCTCGGTTGCATACACAATTGTCAAGTTTCTGTGGTGTGGAAGTAACTATGGAAAACCGCATGTGCTAATGTATCTTGTGCGTTGCTTGCGGGTAAGTACACGCACATAGTAAATATGCATGTACGCTAAAGTTGCGTATAATGTACACGCAAACAGTAGCACTGGCAGACATGTCTGCAGGCTTACAAGAAACTGTTTGCATGGCTTGCGACCCTTGCTGCTGGCTTTGAGGCGATGTGCAAATAACGTGTGACTATGGCGACTTCCAGCTCTCGTGCCGGGCTTGGTGTCACAAGCCGACATTCGAGTGTCCGAACCACGGCCGAGAAGACCTAGTTGCTTCGAGCCTGTGGACGCCTTAAAGAGGCAGCAGCCTACTGTCCTACAGTAGTGCATATAGAGTGAAACATCCAACATCGCAATGCCGTTCAGCTCCCGAGCAGCTCCAAGGCACTCGTGCTACTCCGTTTGCCTACCGTCTCGTCCAGCACAGGCCAAGCCTGCACTGCGTTTGAGGTGCTGAAGCCGCGTCTTTGTGGTAGGGGCTTTTTTGTGCATTTGAGTAGATAATGTCACAAAATATCACACAGGCGACGCTGGGCGGAAAGGTTCACGACGTCATCACCCCGGAGGCGTGGCACTGAAATGGCGCCATTTCTGCAAGCCGATGCAGACGATGTTCGGACTCTGCCCATGTAGGTCTTGGCCAGCGGCCGGGGCTACTTCCTTCCTTGCAATGACTTCGTGGCGAACTACAGCGGAACGGCTATGACCTTGGAATCTGCAAGTTGATGGGCCCGTGCGGCCCGTGCACGCAGGCGTGCTGTGGATTATCGAGTTCACATGAACCAACAGAGCCACTGCCCTCGGCTCAGGTCAACATCTCTTGCTTGGCCTCCGACCTGCTCGCGAATACTTCTGACTGCATGATCGGGCCTTGGGTTTCGCTTCCGAAAGTTATCCCAACATGACCCCCCATAGTATCCTTCAATGCAGGGGGAGCCTGGACCAAAATGTACCGTTTCAACATGGCGACCTGCCTCGAGCAGATCTCGCAAGAGCTGGCTGCACGCATGGTGAACCGCAGGCCAGATCCATGCCAAGACGAGATCCGCAGCATCAGCCACGAAGGCAAGACAGTCTGGTTGAAGCATCGCAATTACGTAGAGCACGGGTTGTGCACGAGTGCAAGTGTGAAGAAGCTCGCTTAGCTGCAGTGGGAGAATTATCCACACATCCGTCGAGGATATCCTCGGTTTGGTCAGTCTCTGTGTGGGTTAATTATTGTTGTGTTTATCCCTTTCATCACGCAGGTTTTCTGAGCCAACCGTGGTGATACAGGCAACCTGAGACTGTAAACCTTCTACCCTAGTAACCTTTTAAATTTAGAAGTGGTCAGCTGGGACTGCCAGCAGTTACTAGCATCGCCTGAGTTGCACCGCTCCTGTGGGAAATTAGCGATGATTGCTCATCATCACCATTATCACAATCACAATAACTATTCCTCGAATCAGCACAGTCTCAGTATCGGTATTGCATGGCGTTGCGGTCCAGGATTCGACATGTTTCTGCGGGGTGAAGAAGATGATGAGGGTGTTGGTGATGTTGTGCGGCTGATGTTGCTGTTTCCGCTGCAGCTGCATCTGCTGCTGCTGCTGCTGCTGTTGTTGTTGTTGTGGTCGCTGCAACTGCCGTCGCGGTCGCGTCTTCGTCGTGACCGTGGTGGTTGTGGTTGCTGGTGCTGGTGTTCTTAATGTTATTTTTCAATTGTGCATTTTCTCAGTCATTGCTGCCACCGCGAGCACCAGCAAAACCAACACCTCCACGCCGCCCTTTCCAGCACCTCCTCTAAACACGACTCCCACAGCATCAGACTATATTCATTTTCAATGCTGCTCGCATGTGCTCACGCTAGGTCTGGACCTGACCGTTCGCTTGGCCGGCAGCAACCTGGGCCGGGTGCTGAGCCAAACAAGCAACGGACTGGATAGGACCTCGCAACCTGTGCGGCAGTAGCAGTCGCAGTAGCAGCGTAGTAGTAGTAGTAGTAGTAGTAGTAGTAGTAGTAGTAGTAGTAGTAGTAGCAGCAGCAGCAGGAGTAGTAGTAGTAGTAGTAGTAGTAGTAGTAGTAGTAGTAGTAGTAGTAGTAGTAGCAGTAGCAGTAGCAGTAGCAGTAGCAGTAGCAGTAGCAGTAGTAGTAGTAGTAGTAGTACTACTAGGCGCCAGTAGTAGTCGTAGTAGTAGTAGCAGTAGTAGTAGTAGTAGTAGTAGTAGTAGGCGTCACAGCGCCAGGAGTATCAGTGAGTGCTACTTGTCGTCGTCCTCGTCCAAAAGCGTCATAGCAACAGCAGCGAAGGGGAAGTGTGTGGTGCAGGTACGGACTCTCCAACGCCCAGTGGATACCAGGCTCGGCAGCACGTTCACTAGTTTGGTCTCCTCTGCGGATAGTGCGGTAAACAACTGCCAGTGCATCGAAGCATGTCGTGTTTACAGACCTACCGGTCACATGATGACTCACCAGGGCATCGGCCAGTGCAGTACATTGGACGAGATGTTGGTCGGCACGTGCGCTTCTGGAGCTGCTTCTGGTCTTCAGGTTGATTTTGCTGGAGATTTCGTGAAATGTCGCTCTGCCCCAGCTGTGGATACAGTCGAAAGCAAAGCGACAGCAGATGCAGGAAGCAGGGCCTGCACCTCTGACATGCGAAATAGATTGACATTGAGGCATGTGAACAGCAGGTTCAGCGTGTCAAACTGTCAGTCGCGCGATCATCGCGGTTGGGGCAGGTACAGCGTGACTTGCGAAGCTGCTGCCAGGATCCCAGCCACAACTGCTGTCCGACTGGATGGGCGAAGAAAACTCTTCGCCTTATAAGAACTTGGCGGCCGGACTGTGCCGCTGTCAAGAATTTTACTTGGTGCTTGTTTGGTGTTGTTTTGGTGTTTGAGTTTGGTGTTTCTTTGGAGTGCTGCTAAGCTTAGTGTCGCTCTTGGTTTTTGAGTTTAGCATGTTTGGGGGTTGTGTTTCGATTGGCGCTTATTTGGTGTTTGTGTTTGGTGTCTTTTGGAGCGCTTTATTTCGTAATGTTGTCTGTTGTGCTCGAGTATGTCCTAGCTTGTTACTTTGGAGCGACGGGCCACGTGCCGGATTCAGACGGGCATCCCTGCACGTTACCTAGCTTACCTTTGGTTAGTAGGGAATGGAAGAATGGTAGGAATAGTGGTTGTAATTGTACCCCATTCCTCCATTCCCTGCTAAACAAAGGTAAGCTAGCTGCGCATGATGTTTCGGAGCTGCAGGGGGGGGAGGGGGGCCTGGGAAGGGAGGCACGGCGCGAGGGGGAGGGTCCAAGCCCAACGCCAAGCTGAACATTTGTGCCACGTTGGCGTATGTTAATTGGCTGGTTCAATCGTCTTTTCTGAAGCACGATGCGCAATCTCCAGGTCTACGGCCTTGACTTGAGCAACTGCTTCTTGAACAGTTCCTTGGCTGACCCAGGGCATTTTGACAAACTCTGGGAGCCGGCAGTCGGCCCGAGTCGGCCCTTGACAAGCAGCTTACAGGTTGCTGCGCTCCGGCCAGGCTTCCTGTAGCAACCCTGCGTGCAGCCTGTGGCACCAATAGAAATACAACAGAAATGCTGTGAGTGTCTGTGAGTAGCATTGGTTGACCCCTTTTCAATTGTAAGTTCTAGAGCACTCGCGATCCTGCATAATATCATCATAGTCTAAACATGAAGCAACTGTTTTGTCAAACAGCCTTAACTTAGTATGCACGTGACATACAGTAGAATAGAAAATCGTAACTTTCAGATAGATCGTCCTTTGGATGGTTGTCAAAATTGTGGTCCCCTTTTGGGTCCCTCCTGTAAAACGGCACGTACTATTTAGGGTACCCAAAAAGGGACCCTAATCTTGACAACTACCTGGGTGCGGCCCCCACTCAGTAATAGTTGAAACATAATCATAATCTAGATGTAGTAGGACCTAAATGGTAGCCCTATTATAGACTATGACTGTATGGGGGCAGTACCTAAACAACTACCCAGATAGATCGTCATGTGAAGGTTGTGAGCCGCCCAGTGCTGGCCTTGCCAGCCTCGGCAGCCACGTGCAGGCGTGGGGTTTTAGGGTTTAGGGTTTAGCTCCAGCTTAGGGGTCAGGACTTTAGGTTGCATCTTTGGGGGGGCTCAGGACTTTAGGTGGAATCTTTGGGAGGTTTTGGACTTTAGGTTGAAAGATGTGGGTTAGAGGTTTGAGCTAAGGTCTCGTTTGGACGTCTTGGCATCGGGTTGTGTGCATTGCAAGCGAGGTAACTCCGGGTATAGCTGCTTATAATCCTGATTACGGAGCTCATAATCCGGATTGTCGAGCAAAGCTGAGTCACGCCGGCCTTGCATGTAAACCCTGCAGTTGGAAGGTTGTGGGATCATATGCGTAGCTTGTGGTGGGAGGTACTTTCTCTGCCTCGGTAAGGAAATAATAAATACCTCTTTATGCCTTAGTCCAGCAGGGGGGGTTGCCATGGGGTAACCTTCAGCTACAAACGGCCTAGTCTCATCATGAGCAGCCTCACTGCTGCTTGACGATAGGGCCTTTAGGGTTCCTGATGGGACTTAGGCACTCATGCACAACCTGTGTAAGGGCATGTATATGTATGTGTGTATATATATACACACATATATCTATATATGCACACATGCATACACATGCACAAGTTTGTATGTGTACACTCTGTACTAAGACCGGATCTCACAAGATGAGATGTAGGTTGTACCGCACGCAGCATGTATTTTCGTTCCGAATATACCCTTTCCTTATTCATTTTGTGTGCGCGTGTGTGTGTGTGTGTGTGTCTACTTCTGCGGAGCCGATGCCAGTGCAGTATGTAGATGCACTTGCTGCTTGGACTTTCAGAGTGTCAGAGCGTTGAAAGCCATCATTGTTATACACATTTGTATACCATCACGAGAAGAATTTCTTCACATGGAGATGTCTTAAAGGTATGCCTTCCAGCCTGTGGTAGAAACAGCAGAGACATGGCTGGGTCCATGTAGGGCCGTTTGCCTTAGTCAGTACAGGACCGATCATCAACTTGTTTGAGCTTCTGTTGTCGTTGTGTGAGTGCAGTGCGGCCGAATGCCGTTCCAGGCCGTGAGGGTGCAGAACAAGCTCATCGAGGGCGGCAGAGAAGCACCCTGGCACAAATAAGAGAAAGCCATATAACATCTATATATATATATATACACACACTTACATATTACATATAAATATACATATATATATATACACACATGTATCTGCATCTATATAGTAGACCCCGAAAAGTTGCAAACCGCAGTAAGGCCACATAGTGCTGGGATTCCATACACGTGACTCTTAAGGATTGAGGCTATGGGGTTTCCAACTTTTGGGCTTCTACTGTATCTGTAAGCACATGCACACATGTGCATGTATAGATTCTTCATGTACTGCATACCGCTGCAGACTGATTGAAGCACTGAACAGCACAACAAACCGTACCTGCAGGGACATTACAAGGAAATGACACAGTCACGCGGTAACACCGCAAGCATGGTCAGGAACATGTCCGGTCAACATTAAGCTGCATACCCTTACATTCTTAGATGCCAACGTGGAATCTAGTGTGAAAGTATCTGCTGGTACTTCCTTGCATCTTGTCAACAGGAATAGACTGGAGTAGACGGCTATATGATCTTAAGTAGCATGTCACGATATGCACCGGTAGGAGCAAGTTGTCTTCCCGGAACACAGGTCTGCACAGTGCAACGCAGCAATGGACTAATACTGGCAATAGTACTTAATTGTGAGTCGACTACCGATATGTGGACATGGACCAAGCTTCTGGCCCAGTCAGGGCCGGAGCATACTTTAGAACCTGTGAGTCGTACAGCCGTGCTCTATGCATCGCCGCATATCGCCGCCTTGCAAAACCCTGCATCGAGGGTTTCAAAAAGAGAGAGAATCGTAGGGTGAATGTCCGCATTGGCATGCCGCTGCTTGTTGTGCTTCTTGCTGATCTGTTTCAATAATGCAAAGAGCAAGGATAAAGAAGCAGAGTCGCTGTGGTTCTTAGCATTCTTCCAGGCCTTCCCGTGCACGGACGTCAGCATCGGCCTCAAAGAGCTGTTCCGAAGCAAGAGCTGAAGATAAAGCAAGGGCATCCGGAGATCCCCGAAGAGTTTTAGAAGAACACCACGACCACGACCGCTAGGATCACTACGACGGCCAGGACGACCTCAAAGCCCTGCCCAATGCTTCCCCTCAAATACCACAGCCGAAACACTGCCAAAGTGCTTTCCCCCCAAGTACTGGCAAAATTAAGGAGGACGGCAGACGCTTCTCCCACATACTGGCGGGTATCAGAGATTTCGAGGCTAAAGGGTGGCCAATGAACTTAGTAACTAAGACCCCGACGGATCCCGTGCTAATTGTAGGAGCGCGCAACATGCACAAAAGGGCGGGAGCCATAGTCGGGGGAGCCTCCCAGCGCGGGCGCCGCACGATTACCTTAAGCAGCCCTCCTTTTCGTCCGAGGGCAGGCACTGTTCGGGGAATTATTGGAGTTTAGGTCTCTGTCAGGGTCCATCAAAGTGCTTCCATTGAGTTTGTTGTCCCAAGTATAGAGCTCAGAGGTGTGGAGGCAATCCTTTGCCCATTCAGGATTGCGAAGCAAACCCTTTGCACCGCAGCTTCCAAGATCAGTCTTTGTTTATGGAGCCTACTTCGTTCCCTCCCCCTGAGTCTTTGTTAACATTGTTGCTGCCCGGAACATGTCGCTTCGACAACCCTCAAGCCTTCAACCCTTACACCCCTAACCCGAGCACCTTACAACCCCCAACCCTGAGAACCCTAAGCCACCCAAAAAGGGTTTGGGCTTTTGCAAAAAAAGATCGAAATGGCACCCTCATTGAACCCTCTTCTTGGAAACCTGCTGACACAGCCCCAAACTTTCCCTAAACCTTAATATAGGGGCCTTAACAATTACTTATAGTACTTTGGGGGGTTTCCTTCTTACAATCACAGTGTAGTAGTGACAGTGGGCCCCCAACACCCTATTCTAATTGTTAAGGCCCCTACACCCCGGTTTTCAGACTCCGGGCAGCCAAAAGCAAACCTGACCCTAAAACCCAAAGGTTCGGAGTTTTCCGGCGAGGGTGAGCTGGTTTGCGTCTCGGGGCGCTTGCCCAGAGCCCAGTTACACTTTAGCGTGAAAGCTGCTGATGCTGAGGGTTTTTCGGGGGGGGGGGAGGGGTGAGGTGAGGCTTAAAGGGTTTCTGCGCCTCAGGGTTTACGGCTCTGATGTTTTCATAGTGTTTCGTTGTTTCTGAAGTAGAAGGACAGGTCGCACACGTGATGATTGGCTGCTGTCTTCTCTGATGCGCTGATTGCCGGTGGCAAGGCTGGTCTTAACGCCGTGAATTCTGGGCATCTCGCTCGTAGTGTCGTGGTGAGCGTTGCATTCACTTGAACCTTTTCGTTGCTGTTATCATGTGAAAAACACTGTCATGAAGCCACTTGACGGCCGGTGGCTTGCATTGTTCCGCCCGTGAACTCTTCTGCAAGTTCCCGCAATGCATAGAAGCATATGAAGAATACCAATAATCGTCATAGCAATAGCACTGCTAGTAATAGTCATTTCGCGACGAGCCTTTAAGGTTGCAATTCATCTATGTAGCGCTGGCAATCACCGATCTGCTCTTCCAGTGACTAAAGATGCGTTTGTCTCGACTACCAAATGTTCAATACACATCATCAGTGCTTGTCACTGGCATTGCTGCAACCTGAGGTATGCTAGCAGCGACAACTGCAATTGCGCCAGCTCGGCCTGTGCCGCTGCTACCTGCGACAGCAGCGTTCGTCGAGCACTTGGACTCTGCACTCTCGACCCGTGCAAGTGGTGGATATCACGTATACTGTAATCATTTTGCCGGCACAGCTCTCCCGGCAACCGCGGGAAATTCACCCATGTAGTGTGGTGCTCACCACAGATAGCACTGTTTCAAGAATTGGCATTGTCACAGTTGGCGTTATCGTTATGTTTGCCATGTAGCTGCCAGTAAGCAGTATGGCTAGCTACGGCTTCCGGGACAGGCAGCAGCAGCAGGAATTCTGGCGCGTAACTGAGAATATCGGAAGGTGAATAGCCGAGAGACCACTTGTGTCTACAAGGCTCAGGGCTTAACCTGCTGAGAAGGAACAGCTCATCTTGCATGTGGGTAGTTGTCAAAATTATGGTCCCTTTTTTGGGTCCCTATGATACTACGGCATCTATTATTTAGGGTACCCCAAAAGGGACCTTAATTTTGACAACCACCCATGTGTGTAACGCCTCAAGCACTGGTCGTGAGAAACCAATAAACACCCGCCGGGCCACCACGGACCAAAACTCAACCCGCTAAATCCACAATCTGCTCCCGAGGCGTCGTAGCCTCGCAAGAGGGCTACACTACGGCTGCCCGGCTGTCCATGGCCATTGAGGGCACTTCTTCTTAAAAAGAGGAAGACCGCTTTGTTCGAACTTTGTGGTTGGAGTGTCGCCGCTGCAGGTTATCCACGCCTCAAAGACCTTGGCTCACGGTGAGACAGAAGCTGGCTCCTGTGGCCAGGCCATTTCCTCGGCCCCTAGGGCTCCTTTCAAAGGGATCCCCTAAAGGGGATCCTTTAAAGGGTACTATAAGGGTCCCTTCAAGTGCTCCTTTAGGGAATGTCAGAACACCGTCTTATATAACACTAGGGTATCGTGTTTCCCCTGTGAAGGGCTGCGGGCGTGTCATCTTGCCTTGTTCCGTCAATGGGCTTCTGTCTCTCTACTCTTTTTGTTGTGCTGTCTGTCAGTCTAGTGATTATCAAGCTATCTACATCTACATGTCTTTATAGAAATACAGTTGTATTTGTCCCAGGTTTTCTACCGAAAGACTTATGATTACAAGCTACACCTATACATAAATCCGTATCTCCTATGTATGTATACACAGATCGACAGCGGATGCCAGCTTATGTTTTGGTGGTGATACTAGTAAAAATGGTCGCTGCATTCCTGCATTGTTTTTGGCAGCGTACCAGGTGCTTCCGAACTCCTGGACTGGTCAGTTCGTTGGCACGTGCACAAACGGAGTGCTCAGTGCGGCCCCCAGCATGACAATAGCTTCAAACGTGACAACCACAGGTAGCGCGCGCACACACACACACACACAGAGCTCACAAACTGGCGATTGAGAGATCGATGCCCCAGTGCAGCAGGAAAGGCTGCTTCTTGATAGCTGCTGCTGTGACAGGCCCAGAATAGAGTACTCGCTCGTATAAAGCAGGTTTACCAGACTCTGCCTAAGCAGAGTAGCTGCTCTGACGCCATAGCCCTTGAATTGTTGATGTGCGCGGCACGTGGCTGGTCCGCTGCACATGCTCTAAACCCCAAGCCTAAATCCTTCTCCCGAGGTGTCGATCTAACTCAGTGCCAGTTCGACACCCGGAGCTCAGCGTCTTTGCCTGCGTTCTGACCTGCTTGGCCGGATTTGTATCTTGCGGATGTGATGATCCTGCAGATTATTCGAGCACATGATGACTTGCGATTTACTGCAGGGTCGCTCTTTTAAGATAGAAGCCTGGATCATGACGAACGTATTCCTTAGGGCCCTTTGTTCTGTTTATACTAAACATACCACCAAGAGCCCCTATTTGATTAAGGCCCCCTTATGCGGTGAATGCTTCTCTGGTCAGGCCCGGCCCCTGCGTCAGCCAGACGACGGGCACGGTTCAGGTGCCGGAGTGTGAAGCGGGATTTAGGAGGTTTATTCAGAGCTTTGGCACTGTTTGTTTGGGGCACTCTTGAGACAGGGCGCACTAAACTCTAAAGGCCCGAAACCGATCTGTTCCTTCCTGCTGTCTCGTTTTGGTCAGGTCGGCGGCAAGAACTACACCGCCACCGTTTCCGCAGAGAAGCCACGCCGGGTTGCTCGGAGGATTGCTGCCACTTCCTCGGGCTAACGCTGAGACCTTTTGTTCAAGCTGACAGAATCTGCCGTTGTCTCCAGGGATCGGACCTTCTAAGGCTAAGCAACTTCAAAGGCCTTCGGAAAGGGCTCAGCTTAGACTTAGAGCTCATGGTTCTCCCGGTGTACAGATTTGATTTGGGTACGGCCCCCACTCAGTAATAGTTGAATAAAGTTCATAATACAGATATATTAGGATCTTAATAGTAGCCCTATTATAGACTCTTACTGTATGGGGGCAGTACCTAAGATTCGAGTTTCGATCTGTAGCGATCATTGGAGTGGCCGGTCTGCATCGTCAGACTTTGTGAAGCGATTCCAGACAGGGGGACTCTGAGTTAGCATAGGGCAGTATTGCGAAGATGGTCTTGAAATCCGTACCTCCCCTACACTTTTACACCTAGAATAAATCAGCCTAATCAAATAGGGCTTTTCCAAAGACCATCTTCCAGATAGAACCCTCAACCGCACTGAAGGCGCAACCCATTCTAGTCGGAACTTATGATGTTGCAGGCTGGGAAGGTTTCCTCTTAAGCCCTAGAGCCAAAACATAAACCGAAGGCGAAGCCCACGACTTGTACTTGAAGGCTACAGAAATCAATAACGTTTGAAGCCGCACATGAACAAAACTCAAGAAGAAGACATGCCGAGATGGCGCCGAGTGGACTGGCCTGTGCTCGGACTACGATGCCGAGTGAGCCCAGTCGCTGAATCCCGTGGAATTGGACGATGGAGAATGCATCATACTGCATGCAGAGGCTAGAAACACGGATACGGAAGTACATATACAAACACGTACAAGTAAGTGTGTGTGTGTGTGCATGTATATATATATATATATATATATATATAAAGTGACTGTACGTGTTTGTGTGTAGATACATTTTCAACATATATATATATATATATGTATATATATATATATATATAGATAGATATGAATTTGAAGGAGATTGCAATGTTTTTCGTACATATCTATGATGTACACACACCATACAGGGCGTCGCTTCATCGAACCGAGGGAAGGAGGCAGAGAAGGAGCATGTCCCGGTTTGAGATGCCGTCCAACTGAGACCCTTTGGTTGAGTCGCTATCAGACCAACTATTTCTGACTTGGGCTTAGTGCGAGAGAGCCTCTATGTGCGCAAAAAATGTGGACTTCCTTCACTTTGAGATCTTCCAGGTACGAAGGTGGCGTGTCGCTGTCCTGTTCCACTGGCCTCGTCTTTGCTGACGGCAGTGGATGTGTTGAGCGCAGCTGCACCGAGTCGCAAAGGACGGGGCCGGGCGCCAGGTAATGTAGGGGCCTCGATAATTAGAATAGGGTTTGGGGGTTCCTTATTCCAATCATCGTATAATATACCATTCTAATTGTTAAGGCCCCTACAGTATGCTCGATCTGAATCCTGCTGCCCCGATCGTAGAAAATGGAGGACCCTGATTCTGAGCCCGTTAGGATGGACAAGCATCCAACAGCCAGGAGATGGTTTCAGTGAGTTTGCTTTCTAGGCTTCTATACATCAGTACGTCGAGTCATGTTTCGTGCTATGCGCAAATCAATACTCGAACCAAGAACATGGAGCGAGGAGTTCGTCATCGGTTTGCGTTTGCATCGCTGCTTCAGATGCCCTGGAAAAGAGCCTACCATGTTCGCTAGGCTTCCGATCAGATGCTTCGCAGCCCCGAGTCTTGAAGCCCCTTCGAGCGCCCTGTTGTTTGGATCCTCACAACCACCACCCATCAATCCCCACGAGTCGGATCACCCTCGAACCAAAGCCGTGCACCAGGACACTGACTTTCGAGGACGGCGTTGTGAACGTGACGTGCCTCGGCGGGGATAGTCTAGAAGACACTGACATGAACCCGACCCAAATCCATTTAGGAGAAGGTTGTCGTAGTTCTGCAGAGCCTGTCGACAACCAGATGCAAGGATCACCCCACTGGCTTTGGGCGTCCCGAATCAAACGACGCGACTCGGCACAATGAGGGGCGAGGGGTATGGCATGTTGTATTATGAGTGCATGTCATGGGCATGTAGTCTGTAAATGAAGTCCGAAGCCGAGGCACCCTTGGTCCGTTTCAATTTCCGAAAGCTTGGGGCATACAGATT